ACTCTAAATAAAATTATTAATTAAATAATTTATTAAAATATTTAATTTTATAAATTTATTATTTTAAATATATAAATAATTATTTAATAATTTTTATTAATTATATAAATAAATAAATAAAAATAAAAATTTATTTTAAAATTTAATATAAAAACTATTATTTTATTAGTTTAATTTATTAAATAATTTATTATTTAATATTTATATTTTTTATATAATTAAAATTAATTTTAAATATATATATTATATATTATATAAATTATTTTATTATAATTTAATTCTAATTTTAATATAATAATTTAAATTTAAATTTATTTTATATATTTTATATTTTATATTTTATAATTTTTAATATAATTTTTTAAATTTTTAAATTTTTAAATTATATTAATATTATTTAAATTAATAGTTGATGATTATTATAATTATAATTAATTAAAAATTTATATAATATTATTAATATAATAAATATAATAAATAATATAAAATTTATTTATAATTAATTTTTTATAATTATATTAAATATTATTTTAATTTATATGAAAAAAAAATAATATTTATTATTTTAAATATAACTATTATTTATTTTTATTTATTATTTGTAAATTTTATATATTTAATTTGTTAAAGTTATTACAGTTATATAAAGATGATTTTCTCAAAAAAAATATTTTCAATTATTTCAATTCTATAATTACTGCTATTAATCATTAAATTTAATGCTAATTACTATTAACTAACTAGTTAACTAACTAATATTTATACTTAGTTAATAATATTTAATTAATAAAGTTAAATTTTATTAGGTTTAAAGTATTTTAATTTTTATATATTTAAGAGAATTACACATAGTATTCAGTGAACCCTGACCGTATTGGCGGCCATTTCTGACAGTTGTTGCGGTGTCGCTTTGGAGCCTTCGGCCGCGGCGGTATTTTGCACGGACCCTACATGCAGCTACATGCCGGGCTGGTTTAATGTGGATCCTCTTCCGGCTCCTCATGCTTCCTCACCCAACCTCACCCCCGACGTCACTCTCCTGGTGCTCATCCGGATCACCCAGCTCGCCCAACCACTCACCCTTGCAGTGTAGAGCGGAGTCACGATGAGCCCGCCGAGCGACCAGCGGGCCCTCAGATCTCGCATACGTGCTTCGAGTCTCAACTTCGCAGCACCCGGCTCACTCAATTCTGCGCGAGTTAGCATGCCACCATTTCCCCCCCTCCATAAAAAGGTTGCCTCCATCCCAGAACGTTTATAATGGAATCTGCGCTTGCGCACCACTTACCCTCTTTCTCTTGCTGCCTTGCTGCCTCGCTTATTTATCTCTCTTCTACGCTTCTTCTCGGTTTCTGCTATACCGCTCATTTCTGTCTGGAGCCGGCTGCTCTGTGCTCCCAACGAGGAAGGCCACATACGGATGGCGGTCACCAAATCACGAACAAAGGCGACGGCCGCCCGAACCTCTTCAGGCCGAAGCCTCAAGCTGGCACCCACGGACACTAACTTCATCCAAAGGGCCAGGGAGCATGACTCCGCCGGCCGCACGAAAGGCACAGCGTGAATTAACACTAAGATAGGCTTGCAAACGGTGTGGAGGAAACTACTGATGTGAGGATGGCTTATTGACTTCTCTCCTGGTGAAATTGAACAATCACTTGCTAACCTTGGACGGTCAGTTTCTGCACGGAGAAGTTTCAGACTACCCCTCATCAGTTCATGGGGGATTTCAGAGCCAACAGGAACAAAGTATTCCTTGACTGGTTGGGGAATCTCACAAATCACGTATCAAAGAGTTATTGCGTCGAATCAAAATGTTCTATGTAGCAAAGCACGAGGGCAATGAAATGGATAATGCAACCAGAACAAACTGCATTAATGTATGATTTCATCCATCGACAGCCTACAGCTTGCAGAGAAATAAACAAGATTAGGTTTCGAGGAGTTAAATAGGAAATTTTGAATTCGAGGGATGGCTTGGTTAGGAATAGAGTACCATGAAGAGATCGAGAATGATTCCATGAGAAGTTGAGTCTGAACCCGTGAAGAAGCAAGATGGAAAAATGTCGCATAGGGGGGTTAAACGTCAGGTCATCATGTCCCACCCTCTTTGGTGCATGGGCTCCATCTAGGATATGAAAAACTCAACAGTGATTGGCCGTTCTTATCCAAGCTCATTCAGTTCTTCCATATTTAGGCAGCATTGCATGAACACTCTTCTCTGTCTTGTTGAAATTGTGAAGCGGCTAAGAAGCATCAGAGAGTCTGGTCTGTCTTCTAGCTTGAAGAAAGACCACAGTCCCATGTCTTATTGCTTTGCGCATTTGTGAGCCGAATTCTACAGCAGGTTTTGGCTCCCAAACGAAAGTTCCTATGAAGCATGCAGAGCATGTGGGCAGCAACCTCCTCAGCCTCGTGAACTCTAACCCTCGCCTTCGTGTAGCATGTAACCTTGGATTTTCTGTGGTTCAATCTGTGGACTTCTCAGGGGGTACGTACGTCAGCGGCCGTGAGATTTCTATAAGCTCGAAGGCGGGGAATTTCCTTCCGTTAGATGACCTCTTAAAATGTAACGACCACGAGACGAGGCATGGAACTTTATACATGAGGATACATGATCGTGGCCCTTCAAAGGGAAAGGAGAAGAACATTTTAAGGCATCAGAATTGCGTCGCGATATCGTCCAAGGGACGCAGCCAGATATGTAAGCTGAAAATTGGCGTAAGAGCTACCTCGGGAAGCAACTCTTTACAAAGGAATGTTTTGCATAATTTTAAACGATCCGCAGAATGCAGACGCGGCTTGGGGGGCTCTTGAGGTCTGGGGACACCTGTTTTACCATATGAGCCTCTTCCCATCCTGCTCACATGTGTCCCTGTTGAAGGGTAAGTTAAGTTAATTAATTGTCCTATCTAAGAAGAGAACTGGTCGGAAGTATAGGTACATAATGTGATGAGCAAAAGACCCAAGACTGGATATACCTTTCCTGCGTGACAAACGAGCTCTGGAGTCTCTCAAGGCCAATTTTCCAACAACTTCAAACATGAGAGACAGCTATCTTAAGACTGTGTAAACATGGACTCCACGTGAATGGTTACCCATTCTTGCGCTGCATGTGCATCTGCACCCACGCGTCCATAGGGAGTTGGAAAAGAACCAAGCAGTATCGACCACCTGTAAATCCTTCGGATACTGCGGAAGTGTATTAGCTCAAGTTCAGATGATGTTGGCATGAGCATCTTACATTTGCTGGTGTCAAGTTGGCATTAGCCTGCCAACAGTAATCTTGCAGGAGCCTTCAAAATCATCTCCAGGATAGCGACAAAGACCAAATACATCAGATGCACCATGAAATTGATGAAGTTTATCAAATCCTTGCATGAAGCTGAGTTCTTTATCGCCGATTCCCCCCTTGCAGTTCTGAGAATATCGAAACTCGGTTGGCCGGAAATGACCGTCTGGCGCGTTTGACCAAATAAAAAGGACTGGGGTCGCCTATGCCATTTGGTTGGCGCGGGAGGCCAAGGAGAAGAGGTCCTCTAGTCCACAGGCATCTCGCCGCTGCCTAGGTCGAAGTAACGATGAAGGATGGCAAGGCCGAATTTTTTATCCATTTTATGCGTAAGAAAAAAAGACGAAATATGTTCTTCACAAGGGCATCACCATTAATTGCTTTGAACTTATCGCGCGCATCTTCAAGAGTTGGAAGCGCCTGAAAGTGTTCGGGCTGGTAGTTTCCAATCATCATTTTGCTGACCCACTGGCGATAAACGAAGAAATAAATATGGTCATGGGAACGAACTTGCTTGAACTGGCCGACAGCTTCTTTATAAATATGGCACTGATATCTGCACATGAACCGCTCTCTGCATATGAACCGATCACTACATATGATACTGTATAAACTGCCATGTGGGATCAAGTGCAGACATAGCAACCTGCATCATGGAATTAAAGCATGAAAAGGTGGAGAAGCTTTGCTCAATCATGCATTTTCCAGCTAATAACGTCGGGATCAACTTTTAGACACTTCATGACGTCCTAGATATCCACACCATTTCTTTGGGTTTTTTTTTCGAGCGAAAAACCCAGCCGCTTCATGCTTTAATTCTACCATACCGTCGCCCTCTGAACACAACCAAGATTCATCAACAAACAACCTATAGCGGCCTTTGCTGACAGTGGCTTCAAGAACACGTCTTCTGTAATCAACATCGGGTGCTGAATATAGCTTAAGTAGCAATGATGCAATAGTTGGAGAGGTTGGTGATTCGCAATTCAGCGTTTCAAGAAACTTGGTGCGGTCTACGTCGAACCGGTGCTCTATTGCCAGAAACCGAGGAAGACTAGCAGCAAGCTGGAAAGGTTTATATCCAGTAAAGCCTCAATCAATGATTCTATTTAAATAAGGTTAGCGGTGTGTAATGTTGAGTTGAGTATAGTGAGTCACACTCTGTGATGTTGTATTCCGAATCCACAATGATATTTTGGAGGAGATAAATCGCCGTGATCAATGAAGAAAGAAGCATTCTCCAGCTCTTAATAAATTACTTTTTTATTGACTAAGTTTCGTAAAAGTAAGCAATGCATGACGTGAATTTCGGAAAGCTAGCCTCGACATATTCGAATGATTTTCTGGTTAATCTTGTCTGTAAAGAGTGTTGATCCGCCTATAATGATCAGCTCCATCTTGTCGAGGTTTAATCATATAGGACCAGCCAACCGTCTAATTGCGTGCGCTCAATGAGACATATGATGATCTTTATCAGCAGGTTGAGGACTTTATCTCGATCTGCTCTCTTCGCGGGAGTACGTGCCGTCCAAACCAGCGGTTTTCCAGGGATCCAAGTCAAGACGAGAAATGGAAAGCCTAGGTTATCTAATGTGAAGCCGCTGTCTTTCTCAGCCGGATATTTATTCAACACGTGATGTTGATCGCTAGTTACTTAGAAACAGGAAAAGCAAACTCATTTCCCTTTCCTCCAAGGCCCGCTCTCATAATGCCTTTCCATTGTGAGGTATGCGCATCGGCTACTTACAACAAGGTCAAGCTTGGAGAGACACAGAGATATTTGTGAGTCTAGAAGCCATGAGAATAATGGTCTCTTTCTGATTTGGCTCTTGTTGTGAGATCGTCCTAAGCAGTTGCCATGACCGATCTGTTGTCAAGTTAACTATTCAAACAGTTAAAGCTTGTCCGCCAGCATCTGAAAAGAGCACGCAAGAGGACCAATTCCTTATTGCAAACCATTGAAATTGCCTCTGAAGTGACGGTCTTGGCTTCTGAAAGCAACAAGAGCATACTCGACCAAAATGAGAAGTTAGATTTGGCTATGATGGAAAATATTGCGGCTGACATTACTCCAGAATATGCGAGTATGAATGTTCAACTTATATTCCACTACTCCATGGAGGCTAACATCTACATCGACTTGATCGCCAGTTCTCCCAAAATTGCAGAATTGCCGGAAACCCTACAAACTCAGGATGCAACCACGCCAATAGGTATTACCACATGCAACCTTATCAGCGGAACGAAAGTACAGTTATAGATCGACATCAGTTGGCATTAATCCCCGCGTTTGATATTGGTAGCGACCAATGGAGCATTCCCGATTTATCCTCTATATCCAGATCCGTTGATGATGCTCAGGCGGTTCAACCTGTCTTTGGGGAAATCCATGACAGTGGTCAGCAGTATACCCAGCAATCAATCGATCAAACTCGGTATGAAAATATAAGTGTATTCACAAACGGGTGGTAGTTTACCTCCAAACAGTGGTAGTTCGGGTAAGGAAACAAGCCCTGGGTGGTGAGAATTGATATTATATCGCCTTAGGTGTCGATTATTTTGAGCAGCTATCAGTATAACTAGTTATAGAAGCTCCTACGAAATTTACATAAGCTTGATTCCCTCACATGGTAATCGGGAGCAGCGGTTCCAGGATTATCATATCTTAAGCATGTCAGTAGATAAATTGGCATAACTTTCGTGAAATATCTAGGGTGAAAGACCAAAGCCCATACTACAATCCAACATGTACAGGAAGTCAGGATTTCGCCCGTGCAAGGATGGTTAGTTTCCATTGTTGAATCTTGATGGGTAGGAGAGACAATAATAGATTGACAGTAAGGAGAACATATTATGCTATATATACCTGTCAGTTGAGTGAAAGATTTCTTTTCTTGGCCATACACACATTAATCTCTCCTTTATTAATATTGCATCGTCGTCTGGTACTAGCAACGCGATATTGTGTAAATTCATATGTGCCACAAGCCTTTCCTGACCTTCGGGATCGCAAGGAGTACGGCATATTTCATTTATCTTGTGAATCTGCAGGCTGGAAAGAATCTCGTACTTGCATTGGAAATGTTGACTGAGAAGGCGACAAAAGCTCTAGCAAATAGATAAATAAGCACAATCTCAGCACTTGAAGACATCTAACATACCAGATTCCTTCAAAAGAATACTTGGTATTGAAGGTAGACTGAACACGATTACATATCATGAGCCCACAGACTTTGCACCGCCAGATAGCAATAAATGGCCTTCCATTGCATAGCGAGCAACGCCAGGTTAAGATATTTCCGTTGCTTGCTTGAATTATTGCCCCATTGATGTGGGCAAGCAGGTTCGCCGTCACTAATTCTCGAATGAACCCGAATTCGCCTGGATATGTATATCTGATATTTTTCTAAAAAGTCTCCAAATTCAGCCCACGTTCTTTGACCAAAATACCCTTGTGAGTGACACCATTCTGGATTTTGCTTACTGGGAATGAGGAGAATGTTTTGGCTTTAGTCTGATATGTTAGATGATATGCTTGGTACAGTACTGCTAATCTGTTCTTGCCAGTAAACCTAATGCGGGGATGGAGATTCCTCTTTACCTTGAGAGCCCTTCACTAATTTTTGTATACAACACAACAATTCAAGATATGATTAAATAGCGTCGCTCCTCTACGTGAGGTTGAAGTGGATAGGAACAGCGCAGGTGGATCTCTGAAGGGAGGAGGGACCACCGTGTGTAGTGAGATTATTGGCATTAAAAATACACGCACGCTTATGGAGTTTTAGCTGGCCAGTATTTCTAAAAAAAAAAAAAAAAAAAAAAAAAAAAAAAAAAAAAGAAGTGAAGAGCAAGGGCTTTTGGGTGCTTAAAGAGATAACAGAGTACGTCTGTCGCGATGGTTGGCCTTTTCAAACTCTCAAGTTATTCAGCCAGCCCCTTTTATGTCAGTCAAACGTTCCAAGCATCATATTCTCTTCTTATCTTTCTTAGAAATCATCCACCAGCAATAAAAATAATTGTGATATGTAAGTTCAAGTCCCATTCCCACTCCAAGGTCTGGTGATAGGGCAGGAATCCTACAGAGAAGGCAACAGGACAACACCTCACATCCACAAGCAGAGAATATAGCCATGCATTAAAAAAGCATAATACCAAACAATTGCCTTCACTCAACTTCCATAGCCTCAGCCCTAGCCCCCTTCCCACCCCTCTTCCCCTGCACAAACACAACAAACTCATCAATAGCCCTGGGCCACGCTCCATCCTCACTCCACCAAGTAAGTGACTCATCCTCCATCGTCTTCCGCATAAATACCTCAACCTGCTCCCACAAATCCTTATTAACAGGCCGCTTGAGCTGCCCATCGACGAATTCAATCCACCAATCCAGCCAGGGGGTGGTGAGGGTGTTCCAACTAACCCCACCGCTAGAGGAGGTGAAGAAGAGGCGCCATTGATCCGTGGCTATTTCCTGAGTGAGATTTCGTTGGCCTGGTAAACGACAGATGACGAACGTATAGCGGTATACGCGGCGGAAGAGATCGGGTTCTTTGGGGAGGCTGACACGAAGCTTTGCGGCGTAGGAAGCTTGTTTTGCAATTGTGTCGCAGCTTAGTTGGGTTAGTATGTTTGTTGGGAATTGGGGGTAATTGGAGACGCGAAAGGAGAAAAGAGGGGGTTTATTGATTTAGACAGATAAACGCACTTGACATTTTTCCATCCTTCAACAAAACTTTCTCGTGTAAATTCTCCCATAGATGGAGAGCGTAGAAATTCTGCAATGGCAAGGCAAACAACTTCATCTAGATTTACTTTGATGTCGCCTAGGTATTTAATCACACCTTCAATGCCGATGGTATTCGGATTTTCACCTGGTTTGTTTATTTATGCTATTAACTTTAATCTGTTTTATACACAAGCAAACACAATCGAAGCATTTAACAACGTACCACAATAGTTATCAAATAACTTGTTGAGAGCAGCAGCTGATTCAGTAGAGCTGTTTTCTGCTACGCTCGCAAAATATCTGCGGACGGACAAAACTGTTAGTACGCAATAGGAACTTGGCTCTGCAATACGGTAAAAGAGAAAAAAGAAACAGAAAAGGAGGAATATACTGCGAAAAAAGGAACGGAAATAAAGTAAATGGAAAAATGGCAACAATCAAGTTATAATGGCTATCGCTGAACAGGACCAAAGACAAGAGATGTAGGTGAGCGAGATGGGGTGGTGCACAGCACCTTACCGATTCACTCAACGTTGCATAAACATCAATGGAGAAAATGGCTCCATAGCAGGCATATAGGTCTTCATTCTAACATTTTGCCTGCAAAATCAAATAAGAGGGTAACTAAGGGAGAACGCTGGGAGACAAGTTCAGAGTGCTGGGCTAACTTTTTTAGTGACTTAGCCTTTGGCCGCTTGGAGCGAGGAACCATTTTGGGGTCTTCTAAAAGCAGGATGAGAAGCAATCAAGAATGTTGTCTGTCAACACTGGACCACACTGATGCTGCTATTGGAAGCACTCTCAATGAGATTTCTGAACACGTAGGATCTTGAGAACTGAGATCACAATTGTGCAGATGAGGAAATAAACAATTTCAACAGATTGCATGAAGAAGAGCAGGTTATCAGCTCCTGGTCAGAACACAGTCTGGAGAGTCAGATTATTGTATTATCTGAGCAGAGATAGACTGTAATGATTGCCACTGGTGAAGTGGATGAGAGGGAACAACTGTCAATGAAAATTTAACAGAAGCTCTGGATTGGATCTTTCAATAAGCAAGGGAGTAGATGTACGATCCAGACTGACAAGACAGCTGCAAAGACAACTGTGCAAGAGCCACGAAAATTGTGTCTTCTGAGATGTGTATAGTGGTGTGTTTGTCTGTGGTGAGGGGGGAGGAGCAATGCCGTATAGCCGACTTGAACCAGCGCTGCTTTCGAGGGCAGAACGACCGTTCTTGGGAAGCGAGGGGAACCAAGGGGCAGATCCTATAGGTATCTTCCCAAGGAATAGGGGGCAGACACTCCTGATAGAATGATGTTCAAAGATTCGGGCATGAGGAATTCAACAAACCTCCTCTATAGCCCCTACAGACTTTTGGGGGATAAAGCGCAACTAGCGACAGCCATCGCATATTCCATGGCCCGATCGAAGCATCGACACGCAAAAATAAAAACAATAATAATAAAACACTGCTTAGATGAAATAAAGCCAGATAAAACCAGAGCAGAACAAAGGAATCGCATAGCACCTACGCATCTACAGCTCGTTCCACATTCCACCCGTTAGCTTTGAGGAACTAAAAGGAGAAGAAACATAAGAGTCAGTACAGTATCTCCGCCCACAACAAAGGCGAATATCAACAAAAACAACGGGTATGCAATGACTTATATTAAACATATATATATACCTAGGTAGATATATATAAATGAAGAAAGATACAATTCTCATACCTTGCCAGCAACACTCTCTTTTGCGTTTGTAAAACAGACAAACTGCGAAATCATATGTTTTTGACTGGATGAATACAGGGACGGCATCTTGAAAGGGTCCGACGCGTATCCTCTGCTATGCGGGTATTGTAATAGACCTCACCTCTCCAGTAAGATATGTGAGGAGCATTAAATTGCGGCAGATATTGGATGGCGGGGTTGGGGTTAACCAGCGCTTTAGCCGTGCAGGAGAGAATGTTATTTAGTAGATGAAAGAGATCCTGATGCTAAAAGGATCAATATTTTAGATGTGATGAATGTATATGAGAAAGAAAATTTTAAAATAATAATAAATAATAAATAATAGTAGTAGAAGTAGTAATAGTAATAGTAATAATAATAGTAATAATAATAGTTGTTGTTGTTGTTGTTGTTGTTGTTGCTGAAGACAAGAATAAGTCAGCGATGCCTTGCTGCAGCTTATTACGTTGGTCACTCATACGCAGCCAGCCAAACCACAAAAGAAGGTTATCCGATCATTGGGAGGATAACGTTGTTTTGTGTGTTGGACCAGCTAATTAGCTGAAATCTAAACTAGTTGAGGAGGCACGTGATTAGAGTAACCACAAATCATTCAAATCTGAAATAAAAATTAATCACAACAATTAGACACTGAATTCCGCATTCATACAGAGTATAACTGTAAAATTCAAAGAAAACTGCTTACTTTTATTATTTTGCAAAAGAATTTTTAAATTATAAAATTAATATATATAAATTTTATTAAATAGATTATAAATTTATTTATTTTATTTATTTTATTTAAATATAAAATATAATAAATTTAAAATATAAAAATTTTTATTTAAAAATTTTAAATATTTAATTTATAATTTAATAATAAAATAAACATATAATTTTTTTAAAAAAAAATATAATTAAAAAATTTTTTATTAAATAAAAATTTATATTAAAATATTAATATTAAATTATTTAAATTTATAAAAAATAAAATAATATTAATAGCTAATATTATATTATTAAATATTAAATATAATATAAAAAAATTTATTTAAATAATTAAAATTAAAATAAATTAATAAATTAATTAATAAATATAAAAATTATCAATAATTAAATATTTAAAAAAATTATATTTTTAATATTTAAAATTAAAATTAAATATTATTTTTTTTAAATATAAAAAATAAAATATTATTAAAATTTTTAATTATATTAAATTAAAAAATTTAATAAAGTTTTTTATATTAAAATAAAAATAATTTAATCTTAATAAAAATAAATTAAAAATAATAAATTTTAATATTTTAATTAAAATTATAAAAAATAATTAATTTTAAACTATTTTTTAAACTATTATTATTCATTAATCATATAATAATTAAATAAAAATAAAAATAAAATTTAATTATAAATATATTTCTATATATTTATAATAGTTAAATAATTAAAATAATAATTTATTTTTTATTATTTTTAATAGTATAAAAATATATTTAATTATATTTTTAAAATATAAAATAAATTTAATTTTATAAAATTTAAAATTATTAAAATTATTAATAAAATAAATAATTTATTTTATAATAAAAAAAATATATAACTTTTATTTAATATAGTAAAATAAAAAATTTCAATTATATTAATAGTGTAAATGTTATTATTAACTTTAAAATTTTTAAAAAAATAATAATTTAATTTAATTTAATATAAAAATTAAATTTTAATTTATTTTTATTTTATAAAAAATAAAAAAATAGAATTATAAAATTTAAAAAATTAAATCAGATTAAAAAACTTTAAATAATATAATATAATTTTTAAAAAAATATAATATTTATTAGAATAATATAAAAAATATTTTTAAATTATATAATCATATATAATTTATATAATTTTAATTTTATAGTTAAAATTTAATAAAAAAATTTATAAATTTATAAATTATTTTTAAATTTTTTAAAATAAAGTTTTAATAAAAATATTTTAAATTTATTATTAATTATTTATATTATTAAAATTAATATAAATTATATTTTAAAAATTATAAGAATAAATTTTAATTTAAATAATAATAATAATAATATATATATTATATTTATTAAATATATTTAATAAAAATATATATATAAATTAAAAATTAATTATTAAACTTTAAAAATTAAGTTTATTATAATTTTTATTTTTTTATTAATATTATTAAAGTTAAATAATAATTTTTTATTTATAAGTTTTTTGACTTATTAAATTTATTAATTTATTATAATTATTTTTATTATCTGATATATTTTCTTCAAATAAGTTCAAATTTACTATTTAATATTGAATTTTTTTTTTTTTTTAGCAGTTTACAAATATCAGCAATAACTTTACTATCTATTATTTTAATTCTCAGATAGTCTATTCTACGCGTGCTTATAATAATCGCCAAGTTAAAAGCCGCTTATTTAGCTTATCAGAAAATATGGACAGAGAGGGCTGAGTGACAAAGAGAGATGGCATATTGTCAACTGTACAAATAAATTCCTAATGGAGAATGCCCTAGGAAGTTTTTCACTATGATCTTTCTCTCCAACCGGATCAAACCCACGTGTTTTATGCAGCGATAAAATAATTCTTAGCATTCTGATTTTCCTTAATCTCAAAATTTGCCAGTGGCAAAGGAATGCCGTGAACAGTTATTCACTCATAGCTGATGGTGGCAAAGCAGCAAGCATATTAGGAATAACAAGAGCAAAGCGGAGACAGGAAGTCCCAGGAACAGCCACTTTGAAGCAAAGACCTTTATTTAGCCCTGAAATATATATTGGAAACCCAAAGAAATCATGCAACAGTAAACGCCAAACTTTTCCCCTGGATCCAGGAATCGAAAAACAAAAGAAAAAAAAAATGAAATAAGACAAATGAATTACGTCGTGAAAAGAGTATCCTCCTGCATAATATGTTAGAAAAAGTTTCACCAAAAAGGTGATGGTGTTTCTTACCTCTCTCAGGTATTCTCCTATATCCGCCTGTCTGAAGGTCGTGATGCCTGTGGGGTCAAGCCGTCGTGCCTCTGCAGTGGATCGAGCAGTGACTCCGAACCCCTATTTACTCAAGCAACAAAATTAGCAATCATTTCTATACGGCCTGGGGGAGAAATACAAGGAAAACATTATGATGTATCTCCAATATAGCAATAGATAACCTACCAAAGGCGTATCATCCATCCCAAGCACCACTATACCCGAATGCTCAGGACAGTCCTCACTCCATCTCCCAACATGTGCTTTCACAATATTGCCTCCATACAGGAATGGCATCTCCCCATTCGGCTTGACCCACACCCTATACCTCGCATGTGGCGCAATCACATCCAATGCTGTAATATGCAGTCTGAACTTGCCCGTCTTCGTAAACTTGCCTATACAGGTACCTAGCGACAGGAGTTTGTCACGGGGCACTGATGTTGCTAGGTTGGCTATTGAGAGGCGCACGTAGTATACTCGGGAACCATGGAGGCGAAATACATGGCGGTCATTCGCTGATGGTTCGCCGCCGCTCGTAGTTGAGGTCGAATGGGGTGCGATTAGGTTGTTAAGGGAGCGACCTGTATAGTTTGCGAGCTTGGTGAAGAGGGTTTTCGTCTCTGCCTCTGTGAGGGCACGCATGGTGGAAGGTGGGGTATCCCCCAGGTACACACTCCACAGAACAATTGAGGGATAAGTGGAAGAAGAATGGGGATGGTCTTCGTGAATGATTAATTTGCAAGTTTCGTTGATTGATCCCCGGAGTTTCTCTGAAAGCTTTTCCGCAAATGAAATATTCCCCGCTAGTGCGAAGTCTTGGCATCGACGCAACCGCCAAAATTTAATTTCATTTTTCTCTACGGGAACAACGTCAAGGTAAGAAGGGAAATCAAAACAAAACAAGACGAACAACAAAATAGCCCATGGCGCTTGGGCATGCGGTGAAAAGGAGGCGGCTTAGTCCGTCCAGAGATGCCGATTCGCAGGCTCCAAATTCGAATGCATCCTTCAAAAAGCGTTTCTACAGTCGTGCGGCGGAATGGGACCTGGAACAAGAATACGAGCGTCGGCCGCGCAAGGGCAACAAATGTGATGTAGAGAAGAGTCGTCTTCCGATTAAAACTGCGGAAGGAAAGTTAGAGCATATCATGGAGCCTACGGATGATCAGTCTGACAATCCCTTCGATTCGGACGACGATGCTGCGGAGGAGCAGGGGATTACGGCCGAGGTCAAGGCTGTTGAGAAGCCGAAACCTCACATCCCCGCGAAAATACAGATTCTAGAAGCAAAAGAAGAGTTGGCAAGGATTGCAGAGCTTATTAATGAGGATCCGGAGGAGCATACGGGTTTATTTAAAAGACTAGGAGACATGGTATCGGAGACCTTACTTCCCGCAGTTAAGAAGCTGGCATTGGCCGCCCAAGCGGCTATCTATAGAGATGTTATTCCTGGCTATCGGATAAGGCCATTGGGGGAAGAAAATACGACGGCAAAAGTTTCGAAAGAGGTGCGGAAACTTCGTGATTTTGAGAAGTCTCTTCTCTCCGGATATCAAAATGCTGTCAAGCAATACGCTTCTTTTGCAAAACCGAGTGGGACTGCCAAGGATGCAGATGATGCGGAGGGTTTGAAGAAAGTTGCAATCAATTGTGCCTGTAGCTTACTTCTTGCAGTGCCGCATTTCAATTTCCGCGGCGAGCTGTTGAGGATTCTGATTTCGCAACTTGGTAGGTGCAAAGTTGACGAAAACTTTGTTAAATGTCGTGAGACGATTGAACAACTATTTTCCAACGATGAAGATGGTATCGTGTCTATGGAAGCTGTTGGGTTGCTGTCTAAAATGATGAAGGCAAGAAATTACCAGGTTCACGACAGCGTGTTGGATACTTTTCTGCATTTACGACTTCTCTCAGAATTCTCTTCAAAGGGTTCGAAAGATTCCATCGACAAACAGGGAGATGAGGACACATTGAAGGGCAAGAAGGTGAAGGCGAAAAAGGAATTCAGAACTAAAAAGGAGAGAAAACTTGCTAAGGAGCGAAAAGCAGTGGCCAAAGATATGAAGGAGGCAGATGCCCTTGTCAGCCATGAGTCTCGGGATAAGATGCAAGCGGAAACGCTGAAACTGGTATTCGGCACATATTTCCGGATCCTCAAGCTTCGCAGCCCCAGCCTTATGGGTGCCGTCCTGGAAGGCCTAGCAAAATATGCCCACCTCATCAACCAGGATTTCTTCGGTGACCTCCTCGAAGCATTGAAAGAACTAATTTCACAAACCGATCCTTCCAACTCTTCCACAGAAACCCCAGACCCATCTACCTCCCCTAACGAACTCGACCTCGTTGGTAAAACGGAAACAAGGAATATGACCCGCGAAGCGCTCCTGTGCTGCATAACCGCCTTCGCCCTTCTCGAGGGCCAAGACGCCAGCAAGGCCGCCTCAACACTCCATCTAGACCTCAGCTACTTTATGACCTACCTCTACCAATCCCTCTACCCGTTATCCCTATACCCAGACATAGAATACCACCCAAACAAATCTCTTCACCTCCCCGACCCATCCACCACCACAACCCCCGTTCCCGAGAGGCACCAGACCAACAAAGTAAATTTCCAAACCCCTACCGTCCTCCTTCTCCGCTGCCTCCAATCCACTCTCACAGCCAAAGGCACCAACGTAGCACCTCCGCTTCGCCTAGGCGGCTTCACAAAGCGCCTCATGACCGCGTCTTTACAGTTGCCAGAGAAGTCATCGCTGGCTACGCTTTCTCTGCTGGCGCGTGTGGCCAAGCAGCATGGGCGGAAAATCGCGCCGTTGTGGAATACCGAGGAGCGGAGGGGGGATGGTGTGTTTGATCCACTTGCGTTGACGGTGGAGGGGAGTAATGTCTTTGCTGGGAATGTGTGGGAGGGGGAGTTGTTGAGGTTGCATTATTGTCCGCGGGTGAGGGAGGTGGCGAGGGAAGTTGAGAAGGTTGTCGCGGCGGTGAAGTAGGCTTGTCGGTGATGCGAGCATGTAGATTGAAGATATGGTGAAGGTTCTCTATATTTAGGAATTTGGGTGTTTTTATGAATGGAATTGTGAGTCATAAATAAACTATTTTTTGCTTCTCGAGTGGAAATCAGGGATGAGAATTCCAAAGGAGATCTTTTGACCTTTAATTCAACCTTTCAACTCCCTATTTATTGGGTTTCTATTTAGGTGATACAATTTGCATTGGGTAGTTAACTAACTAGAAGAAAAGCACGAAACTTGTACAGAATCCAACATGCAGCCAAACTTGAGAAACTTCACTGTAAAGAAAATGAAATGAAAAGCAAAAACAAATCATATCAGACAAACCCTTACATTGACATTCATCGACGCTGCCAACCAACTCCTTGTTAAACCTGGAATTACTCCGTACAAGAACCGCAAGTTTCAAGATACACCCAGAAACAACCCAACTCAAGGTCACAAAAGTTGATAGTGGTAAAAAGAAAGCAAAGGAGAAGCCAATGACCAGCAAGGAGGCAAAAGAGAAAGGCAATCACAAAACAACTCGACTTTATAAGAAACAGATTGGAAACACGCATCAAGACACATAAGGTGGAGTACCCAATCATCATGAAAACCTCATCAACCAAAACACTTTCGCTCCCACATCACTTACGTCGCATAGATACATACCCCTGGCTCTTTAACGTGGGCTGTTGATATTGTTGTTATTGCCGTTCGGACAAACCTGTTGATACCAGTTTGCAGCGCTAGGCCATGCGCGGTAAGGGGTAAACACCCTATTAGCAGCAGGCCACTGACCGGCGTGCGGAACATTGCCAAAGCTTTGGGAGTTATTGAATTGTGGATATCCCACATGGGACACTACGGGAACCGATGGCGGTGGAACTGGCGCATAACCGTGGTTGAAGTTACCGAAAGGTATGTGGAAGGGATTAGAATTACCTGGTCGACCGCGAACGCTAGAATTGTTGCATCCCAAGCTTGACTGACGCGGAGGGAATCCTACAGGGTTTCCGGGTGTTTGGTTAAGGGCACCTAATGGACCTGTAATGCGTGAATTGGGATGGACGAAGGACTGGGCTTGGAAACCACCAGGAGTGAATGTGGGGGAGACTAGTGCTGGTGCCTGTGTAGCTGTGGGGGCTGGTGGATGCTGTCCCGAGGGACGCACAACTGGAGCTGTGGGATCAATAATTAAAAATTTCTTGCTGGGTATGGAGAATGCATTGAGGCTCTTACCTTTCTTATTATTGCTATTGTTAGAACCGCCACGACGATTTGCTCCACCGTTATTACGTTTGGGATTCCAGACACCCCGCTTCTGGCCTGTTTGCGAGCCACGGAAGCCACCCCGCTGTTGTTGACCTTGGTCTTCTGAGATACCTCTGCTAAACGTAGGGTTCGTCTGGGATTGCGCCCGCGCAACTGGGCTTCCTATGCTCCCATCGTTGGCACGACTGCCAGAAATTTCCTCAGCGCTGCGTACAGTTAAAGCCTCGTTGTCGCCTGGGTCAAACGGAGTTCCGCATACTGCTGCAGGTGTACGAACAGATGTCTCACCGACCCGCTCCATAACATCGGACCAATTGGGGGTAATATTATCGTCACTAGTGTTAGGATATGCTTGGTTGATGTTTCCAGCCATATCACTAATACTTGCAACAGCTGCAGCGACAGACTCGACTGCTTCACCCAATTCCCCAACAACCAGAGTGATGTGGTTTTTGATGCTTTTGTCGTGGGTCGCAAGGCTTTTGAATCTTGCTCTTTTCTCCAGCTCCAGGCCCTCTGAGAGGATTTTCACGTTGGTATTGACGACCTCGAGCTGATGGAGAATCCTCAGTTCATCCATCTTGATGTTAGCCACGTCGTTTGTCAGCGCTTTGAGTTGGGCGAAGATTGCTTTATGGGGGGATTCTTCGCTCATAGTGAGAAACTGAGTCGTGTCCGTTGTGTTGGAATCAATAGCTTCAGGACCCGACTGCTCTGCCACGTTCAAAATTTCGTTGGCGCCAGGTTTTGGCACGTAGTTGTCCTGTTGTGAGTAAATGCCCGGCTTCTGGGGTGCAGAAAGCGCTCTCCGACCGCGTGTTATATGAATAAATGGTGACGTTCTGTAGCAGATTCTCCCTTTTCTTATCCGGCTTCCACTTCTACCACGAAAGAATGAATGATTGAAGGAGTTGAAACGTTGAGGCTGTGAGCTTTGCCTAAACTCTGTTGGCGTGGGTGGGCGAGGAGGGAGGTGCGGATTTATGACGGACATTTGGCCCGGCAACGAGAGCTCAGTGTTGTTCTCGCTTGGTGTCCTACCAAATGTTGCAGTGCTGCTAGTCCAACAGGAATATTCCTCTGCCTCGTCAAGTTTTATCGAGCCCCGAGCACTCGTAACTCTCCTCTCAGGGCTAACCAGCCTGGCAGTGCCTCTTGTTCCACAGGTACCTTTATTTGTTAGGCTTAATTCAGGGGATCCGAGAATGATTCCATCCAATTTAGGTGGGGACTGAAAGTACTCCTTTTCCGGGGTTTCTGCTGATTTGTCGCTCGATGTAGGAGAAAGCGTTGTGTGGACAGTTCCCCAATTGCTACCAAACATCTCGTCGCCCCGCAGTTCAGGGGTAGAGCTTACCTTTCTTGCAGTTGATAGACGTCCAATGCGTTTCGCTGATAGCTCAGAGTAGGAGTTCTCTGTTTGCATGAGAGGTGCTGAGAGTGGGGGTTTGTCGCCGTCCTTCTTCTCCTTGGGGTAGTATATTTTTGGTCGTTCAGCCGTTTCCATGACAATGCTGCTCATATCAGCAGGAGTGGTTGGTGGCGCTGGTGATGCCTCCTGGTTGGTGATGCTATAGTTTGATAAGGGAGCAGAACCAGGATGTCTGTTATGGCCACAGTCAAAAAGGTACCGAGACAGTGTGTCAACTGCACTTGTGGCAATATCAAAGAAGGGGGGAAATGAAAGGGGGTTTCACTTATGCTCTGGGGAGAATATATTACCGGTGGTGCTGGGAACGTAGGTCCTCGGGAAGAGGAGTTGTTCCGGAGTTTCCTCTGGGCTAGGGGTATTTTCTCCTTTACCATAACTTCGCCCTTGCTTCGACATCCTTTTGGAGAAAAGCCGGTATTTCCGGGCCATAGCTATCCAGGTTGACTCGAAATCTCTGTTGCATGTCAGCGCAGAACTGCTATCGCTACGGGAGGTTTTCCAAGCCTTACACTGGAAAAGAATCCTGGAGATATTAAGGAATTTCTATTACCTCACAAGGGGCGAAGGGTGTGGGGGGAATATAGGAGCTCGTTCGTGCTGATGGGCCCAAGGAATCACAATACCCCATGCTTTTAGTCCACAGCAATGCTGATAGATATTGCAACAGGAATTAAGAAGCCCAGGGAAATGGTATAGAAACGGGAGAGACTAGCAGTAGAAAGAATGGGGGGAAGTAGCAGACCTAACGACCTACCGTAAACCTGGACATATATGATAGCTAATGTGAGCTGATTGTCAGCGAAAGCTCCGAGACTTGCGGGAGTCTCCAGCTGAGATCAGGGTCCAAACGAAATGCCCTTGGCTGTTGCAAAGCTCTATCTCTGGATTTCTGCCTAGGTTAATGTGCGATTGACACAGGGAATATATGATTTTTGAGAATGTATCAGGGAGGTTTCAGCAAGAGGTAAAATTGGGGGAGTAAAGGGAAGTCCAAAAATGCTGCAGAAGAAATCCAAAATGCCAGAATTCACAGTATCCAAAAGGTCTTTATGTCCAATATATCATTCTTTATTCAAGATGGTGAATGAGGGTCATGACCAGCTGATTTCCAGTAACAGGGACTGAAGTATCCAAACTTGAGAGTTGTTTGCGCACAAAGGAGGTGTGAGGTGAAAAGGAGACAGGATATAGACACCGCGTTGGACAGCAACGGCCTTAGCGCCATTTAAGCGACGTGTTCCTGTTGATTGCATGCACTGGGACCTGCCCTCCCTATTTCTTTGGAGCATACCACTGCTTCCAAGGTTATGCATTTGCTGCTTGCCTGCTACACGAATTTTCGCTTTAATTTTCGCTTTATTAGTGCTTTGTGGAAATAGGAGTTAAACGGTGCGAGTGAGATTCGATTGCCCCTATTTCCACAACTTTGCCCCTCTGCTTCTTTCTTCGATCCCACCGCTTCTTCTTTCGCCAAGTTGATATCCCTCTGCTCCCGCTTGATCGGTGGAAGTGTTTGACGTTCCCGGCGACAGGGCCTGGCACCGTGCTGACAAGCCCTCCATTCCCTGAAGAAGAGTGGTCGACAGAGTAAGACCATCGGATCTCGTTACTGCAGGGATTCATGCAATCGGGTCTCCTGTTCAAAAGGGCCCAGAAATCCATTGCATGCATAGGACCTCCTGATGTCCGTTTTCGGATATTGGCATGCCTCCTACTACCGGAGAGACTTGGTGGAGGACGGGCGATTCCACGGACATCGTCTAGAGTAGAAGGAAATAGTTGACAGGCCACATTGTATGATAGATTAACGCATTGGATCCTAATGAAGAATTAAATATGTCATAGAACGGCTTCACCGTTCTACCCGTGTAAGAGAAGGTAAAAGGGGCAATAGTAACGGTCCTGCTCCATCGGACTGCCGCCATTTTTCTTCTTAAAGGTAACTATTAGGAGAATAATATGGAGGAAAAGAACAGACTGGAAAAGGAAAGAAAAAGAACCTCTTGTTTCCTACTAAACTGGAATGTGATGAGAATACTGTACCACTCTTGTTCCCCTTCCCACATTAATTTTCTTCCCTTCTGAGTTCTCTTGCATTCAACATCAAATAATCATGTACACATAGCAGGGAAATGAGATGCCAACCAGATCAGCGCGACGGGATATCCGCACGGTATTACCATGGTCTCTGTATCGTATCTCTTTCTCGCTTTTCCTCCATCTTTTCACAAATCGACATCCATATACATAACTTCAAACTTAAGCTCGCTGATGATGGTTCAAGCACTCAACGACAGAAGATTTGGAAGAATCTCGAAAGCGCAAGGAGGCGGGGTGATTATTCAGCAAACTGTGATCATAACTATTATGCTAGATGACATTGACGATCAAAAGTGACAAACATCTCATCACATGACATTATCTGCTTCGCTCACAACAATGCAATAGAAGAATAGCATAATGGAACATAACAACAAGGTCAAAGTCTTCATGAGAAAATATCAAGCACAAGAGCACCAAGCATATTATGCCAAGAGCCAAGCAGGCAAATTGTGATGCGAGGAGAACAACTTGGAACAAATTAACTCAGAAGAGTGAAGATAGTGGAACTTTAGAAAGGTGCTTGGCGAGGTACGGTAATATTGAGGGCCAGTACATCGCTAAAAAGACGGGGATGATAGTAGCAAGAATCGTAACAGCGACCAAGAGGGCCCTGAAGGTGGTTGATGGTCAGTAGGACCGTATGGTGTAGTTTGAAAGGAGGCATATCAAATTGGATATCGTTACAGCAGATACGGCATAAAACATTTGGTACACACATAGGAAACTTGGCTTACAAATGAAAAAAAGAGATATTTTATTGAGGAGATAAGGTAGGCGGGAGAAAGGCAAAATGTGAGAAGAGATGTCTGGTATTAAGGGCCAAGCGAAGTAGTGAGGAGAGGAGGTAGGGAGAGAGAGTAAGAGATAAGAGCCAGTTATTGAGGGGTATACAATAGTATCCTCAAGCCGGAAGAAGATAAGGCACAAAGAGAAAAGGAAGAACTCATGGAAAATCCTAAGAAACGCGGTCCTTACCGGCGAGGCTTGTCGCGAGGAGTTCGCCGAAAGACCGACAAAATACCACCGAAGAAGGTGCCGAAAATGGCGTGCCAGAGTGCTTTGAAGAAATTCACTCTCTTGTGGATGGTTACAGATGTAATGGACCGGTCTCCTGTTCCTGTTTGGGGACGTGCGTCGTCTGCTACACCCGGAGTTGGTGTTGGGTTGGTAGTTCCCGCTGCGGCTTCGGATGGTTGAGCAGACTTGGTGGTTGATTCTGGCTCGGCAGGTATACCGCTTGTGGGAATCTGTGCAGTGGAGGGCTTTGGTGGCTGGACAGTTTCAGTTGCCCTGACGGGAGGCTTGTTCTGCTGTGTTTTCTCGGTTGCAGCAAGGGTGCCTGTCGCATCTACCTTAATTTCTTCAAGAGGTAATACTGACTTGTGGCCATTAACAACTGACTTGTCCGCCTTGGAGTCTTCTTTTGGTGTATTAGCGTCCTTGGAACTTTCAGGGGCAGTGGCTGATGACACTTCAGTTGGAGCGTTAGATTTATCGATGGAGGGCTCAGACTTTTGATCTGAGGACACTACAGCGATGGCTGCTGCTGCTGTTGCCACTGCTACTCCGGTCCCTGCAACTGCTACAGGATTAAGGTATCCGTCGTGTTCAATTTCCTTCACGACTTCTGGTTCTTTGATAGGCTCCTGTGGTGCATCTTCTTTTAGGACCTTAGATGTGGTGCCATTTGTTTCGACAATTGGATCTTCAACTGCTTCAACGGGATCATCCTTGGAGGGTTCTTGGGTGTCAGCATCTACCGCTGTGGGCTCGGTCTTAGCTGCGTCCGCAGGGGTCTCGACGAGAGGGTAATCAGAAACATTAAAAGAAGCGGGTTGCACGATCTCAACGGCGATTGTCTTGGAAGCTACGGCGTCGTCCAACTTCTCCTTTGCTACTTCGTGGGCGGCTATTTCCTTAGGGTCAGAGGCTGGAGACTCTGCCTTTGGTTCCAAGACTGGGTCAGCTTCTTTAGATAGGATTTCAGCAGAAGACTGCTCGGGAACAGAGGCTTCTATTGGGCTAGCCAAAGCGTCTTCAACGTTTCGTGCTGAAATTTCGAGATTTTTAGTTGCAGATGCATCATGTGTGGGTTCTACAACATCAACGGGAGCGGCAGTTTCGGAGACAACTTCTGGCTCTTTCTCAGAAGCTGGTTTGTTAAGAAGAGGTTTAACTTCTTGTTTGGTGACTGGCTGTTCAACAGGGGTCTCAGCAGCACCGGCGATTCCAGCAGGAGCAGCAGCCTCTTTAGGCTGTTCAACGGTTGTGGTCGAATCAGTGGTGGATTCTTCAATGTCCGCGGGCTCCGATTTAGCATGGTCTGGTTCCATATGAACCTCAGTGGCTGGCTCCGCTGGCTTCTTTGCTTTCTTTGGTTCAATCAGGGCGGCTACAACTTCAGCTGGGCCAACTTCTGGCTCGTCAGGAAGTGCTGACATCTCTGGAACCTCTGCTACGACCGGCACTGGTTCAGGGGTGGTTTCTTCTGACACGCATTCGTCTGCAACAGCGGCAGCTGGTTCGGGGGTAGAATCTTGAACAGGCACAACACCTTCTACTCTTGGTTCAGCGTCAAAAGTTTTCGGGACTTCAGGTTCTGCAACATGCGTTGAGGATTCTCGTTCCTTTGTGGGTGCGGGTGTATCCGCAGCCTTCTGTTCTGGTTCCTCCACAGGTGCGGGAGCCACAGGGATCTCTGGAGCATTTTTGTGAGTAGGTTCTGGCACCACATCGGAGACAGCAGCCTTAGAATATTTCGATGCATCTGGTTCCTCCACAGTAGTGACTGTCTCAATGGGATCAGCAGCACGGGTTACTTCCTCAACTTCGTCAGATTCTAGGGCGTCAGATTCAAGGACATCGTTGATGGCTTTTGATCCCTTCAACTTTTCATCCGCTGGAGCAACAAGCTCACCACTTGATTCCGAAAGACCCGGCTGCTCTGCAGCATGAGATGCTTCAGGTTCGACAGCAACTTCAGAAGCTCTCTGTGATTCAGAAACTTCAGTTGCATCCGATGTTGCATCGGTAGCAGGTACATAAAAGGGTATGTCAGCAAATTTCGAGGTTTTCAGCTCCTTTGATTCTGGAGCTTCGGGGATACCAGCTGTCACGGCTATGACAGCAGTCTCAGGCTCTTTTGGTTCGTCTCGTGTTTTGAGAACGTCAGGGGTTGCAACAGCATTCTCAGGGTCAAACTCCGGCTCAGGAACAGAAAGCTCGACAGGTTTCGTTGCTTCTGGCTGGCCATTAGTAAAGGATTCAGCATCAGTAGTGGCAAAACTTGGTCCCACTGCAACTTCGGCAGGCAATCCAGGTGCAGCTTGATCTGCCGATAAATCCTTAACATGCTGAGATGCCTCCGGTTCATCAACAATGGTAGCTGAAGCCCTTAGGGTATCAATAGCCTCCACCTCTGGAACAGCCTTTGGCCCAGGAACCACATCTCTACCTGGCTGGGAAACATCTAGCTCTGTAGGCTTGGAAGAAATAACTTGTTCTGGAATGGACTCTGTTTCTAGCTCCGCAACGGCCTTGTCAGATTTGGATGATGCCGGCTCTGCCACCTCTGGGCCATCTAGAGCAGCAGAGGTAGCTTCTGCCGCTGGAGAAGAGTCAGATATTCCCAAGTCAGGGGCAGCGTGCTTCTCAACGGAAACGAGCTCCACATCAGAGACATCCGCAGTCCCATCACGGGCAGCAGGTTCAGCAGGTTCAGCTTCGGCACCACCCTCAACTGGAGCAACGTCCTCTACAGGCTTTGCTACATCTGGTTCTGGTTCCAATTCCGGTTCTTCAAGACCTCCAGCAGCAACAACAGCGACCTCGTCTAGCTGTGGTTCCTCGGTCAGGGGCACCTCGATCTTTTGTTGTTCTGGCTCCGAGCTAGCTTCAGCAGGCTGGATGACGTCATCATCGTCAACCTTGGCAGTTGTTGCAACTTTCACTGCAGGTTCATCCTTCAGTTCAGCTTCGTCTTTGTCGGCAGGAGTGGCCTGTAACTTTGCGTCTGTATCCTTGACAACATCCCTAACTGCAGTATCATCATTCACAGCGAATGGCTCTGATTCCGGAACTGGAGTCTCTGCGGGAGCCTTGGGTTCAGGCTCCCGTGCGGTTTGCAATTCGTCCGACTTAGTCGTTGTTTCCAGCAGCTGATCAGCTGGAGCTTCAGCAACTTCTTCTGCTTCCTCATCTACCTCATAGCCCTTCTTGATATCTCCGTTTACCACAGTTGTTTGTTCTGCACCAACATCATGCGATTGAGTCGGTTCGGGTTCAGCCGGTGTGTCGACTGCGGGGATTTCGGTAGGATCGCCAGCAGCTGGCACAGGTGTTTGTTTTAGCTGCTTAGGGGGCGCAGGGGGTGCTAGGGCCGCCTCAGGGGCATCACCCGCTAGTATGTCCTCATGGAAATGCCGCTGCTCAATGGCCTTTTGCTCCACTTCTTGATGTTCATTGCCTGCCGCAGCTTCTCCGGGTTTGCTGTCAGCCTTTGCAGGCTCTTTTACTACGGGCTCGACAGGCTTTTCTGTTTTAGCAGCAGTCACTCCTTCCTCCTCAGTTAGAGCTAGAGGTTCGACTTTCGTTTCCTGCTTGATAGGCTTCAGTGCTTCGACAGCTTCTGCTGTGGGTTCGTTGTCATTGCGAGCGGCATCTTCGGTACCTATGGTCGCTGTTTCCAGAGGTTCCCCTTTCAGGTCTGTATGTGTGGTTAAAATATCTGTTTTTGCTGCGGGCTCCGTAGCTTGAGCAGTATCATCTTCCTCTTTGGTTTCTCCTGCTTCTTTTTCCGCTGGTGGTTCTTCCTTGGCAGCAGCAGGCCTGTGTATAAGATCAGTCAGTGCCTCCACAGGAATTTTGGCAGGCTCTGATTTGATATCTTTCGCTTCTGAAACATCTGCTACCTCGCCGAGTTTCTCATCAACCACGGTATCAGCTACGATCGAGGCATCTTGGGTAACTGCTGCCGTTTGTGGATCTTCTCCCACAAGAACCTCTGCCGCTGTATATTCAGTTGGTGGTGCAACTTCCGGAAGAATGTCATCTGTTGAAGCTTCGGATTTGATAGTCGAGTCCGCAGGGATAGAGTCGACCTTGGCTGTATCAGCAGCGCTCTTCCAATTTTCTACGGATTGAACCGGAACATCATCATCTTTGATACCCTTCGCAGCTTTCTCAACGTCGTCACCGTCTGCCAATGGCTCAGCAGGGACATCATTGGTCTCCTTAGCATCAGACACAATTTCAATTTTGGTCGCCTCCCCATCCCCATCTTTCGCTCCATCGACCTTCTCTTCTTGGTCTTGGACAGTAGTTTCACTAGATACATTCTTTGGGTCTGAGTCGTCTTTCTCAGCAGAGTTGTTAGGTTTTTGGATGATTGAAACAGCCTCTACGGCTACGACGTTATTTTCGAAACCATTGTCGTCCACAACTACGGAACCATTTATCAGTTCCGACGTCACAACGTATTTTCCACCAAGGAGTGACTCAGTGGTTGCTTACCAGTCGTGGCATCCTTATCACAGAACCAAGCACCATCCGGTCCTAGCCGGAATTTGTATTGGTGCTGGCCAGTAGCTACGTCAAATGACTTCGAGAATTCGTATTGAGTATCTGGAACATCGCCATTGGCCTGCGCAGCAGAATCCTGATCTGCAGATGGAGGGAGGGGTTTGACATTGAGCTCGACTGGTTCCCAGGCGGGCTCAGTGAAGGATCCAACAAGGAAAATGGCGGGAGTCTTGCTTGACCGACGAATGGCAATGTTGATACTACTCCTGCTAGTATCTGTCATCATGGGTAGTTGTGTTTTGTGAATTCGTTACTATCGTGACGGTCCAGAAAGGAAGAGGGAAACGAGAAGCGGAGACGGAGTTGTGGGGTCGAGTATAATAGCAAGAACGGAGGGTTTCACAATCAATGGTTAAAGAGTGATTCTATACAGCGGGAGATGGTGGTTTAATGTTACAAAGAAGCACAGAAGAAAAGGCAGCAATACCCCCAAAATACACTCAGGTGGTTAACTAGATGAAAAAAAAAAATGAAAAAAAAAGAGTAAACAAAAAACACAACAAAACCTCCCAAGTTCCAAGAAGAAACACAGAGGAGGGAAGATATAAAAAGAGACTCTTGCTTTTCAATGGGATACAACCGACAACGGTTGTGGGAGAGCGGGACTGTCGAATGTAAGGGAAGAAGATTCGTTTTGTTGGAGAGGAGAGGAACAGGAAGCTGGTGGGAGAGCAAAGATACCAGGTCACTAGCTCTGACTTGCAACAGTGTGTGTGGAGGATAGGGCAGCAAGAGAGAAGACGGTAACTTGGAGTCAGTTCAAGAGACGTGAGAGTGAGGACAGGGTAGAGAAAAGCAAAGAAGGGGAAAAACAATGCTTCAAAAAAGAGCAGGTGGGGAGAAAAAAAATAAAAAATAATAATAAACAGACGTGCGAATTATGGGCCCGATGGGCTTCAATGGCGGAGCCAACCGAAAAAGCCGGCTTGGGAGCTTGGGTAACTTGGGGATAGGTTTGAACTTTGGATTTAGGCGCAACAAAATGGAAAAAAAAAATTAATATGATTTGTTGCTTTGAACGTCGACAATGGAGGTGATGATTGATTGGATGTGCACTTGTTAATATTTCAAGATAACAACTCCGTAAATCCTTCTCTATGATACTTCTAGGTTGTGCTTTTCTGGGTCCCTCTCTGTGAATCAATCATACGGCATACAATAATAACTATACGAATCTCCTCTTGATGCCAGATGGAAGGGGGCAAAGGCGACATGAACGAAAGCGAGGAGGGATTATGGGGAAAAAAAAAATAGTGGATGCATGCAGAATCGATTTGTTGTCACGGTGATCAACAAAAGGTAGCATGCACACATTGACTCATCCATGGAGGAGCACCCCGGGTTCCGAATGAAGCTCGTAAGCGTGATGGCTAGATATTTTTTACTTACCTTTCATAGTTTGGTTTTCTCATTTGGTTACCAAGGAATATTGAGAGCATTATAGTGAATAGCACGTAGCATGCCAGGGATAGGGATTGCGTTACTGCCGTGTAGCGCGGCGTTCTCCACAATAGATACATATATGATGACCAGAGCACTGCTCCCCCATCATTCTTCCGGACGTTATTATTTGATTTTGTCCATTCCATCATCCTCTTGAACTGAAGCTGCCTCTTTTAACAGAGATGGGTGTTTTTTTTTCACTACTGAGCAAACTGGAAAAGTAAACAGCAAATTAACTAAAAGAATGGCCCAAGGGTCCCCTCCGCATTGACAAAGCGCTCGCGGATGATTGGCCCAAGAGGAGAATTTTCCAAGGTCTTTTTTGTTTGTTGTTGGCGCTAGCTAAGGTTCGCCATACGCTAAACTTTGGGGGATTGTGACGGGCGCATCTTGAAAGTTCAAAACGACGGGATTTGGTTTTTGGTCTCGAAAACGTGATCATTCCTTGGACAGTAAAGATTATCTGCTTGGCATGGAATAGTTATATACACAATAAGCTATATCAGCGGTCGAAGAGGGTTTGTATTCCTTCCTCAGAGAGCTGAAGCAAATTCAAATTGATGTTGCTGATGTTGATGTTGTTGCAAGTAACTGCTCATCAGCGCTAATTTGACAATGTTGCGTCCGCTGCGCTAGCGGTGAAGAAGCCAAGAGGATCGTTTTATCCGCTAAAATGGCTCCTGCTGCTCTTCAGAAGCTGGCTTCGAAATAGCTTGCTGGCTACCCGAGGCTTTACGATTTTATATTTGTTTTCCTGTTTGCACCCTAGGTCTGATTCATGCTTTGCGTGGCACTAGGAAGAAAAAGTGAGGTCAGTTTCATGAGGCGGATAATACGAAAAGACTGTTTGGTGATTCAAGTTATGAAAATATATCAAGCCCTTGGCTTGCCTTATCGTCCTCATGAATTAGCTGTCCGTACCCGGCGGAGAGCTTCTTGACTCTGGCAAAGCACCTCGACAACAGTAAAAGAGTGTCGGAGCGGCCTTAAAAATCGGAGAAGTAAAAATCTCGTGTCAAGCAAACTGTCAAACAGCCATGACGGTTTTCAATTAGCTTTCCTTGCTCTTCTGACGATCGAGGCTCCGAGAGAGGTGTGATCGATGGTTGACTTTTTCCAAAATCTCAGACTCGATGGCACGGTACAAAGTTGCAAGATCGAAATAAACGAATGAAGGATCGAAGGAAACATGTCTGGAATGCCCGGGGCCAAAGGTACACGTCATAGATTTTGACAGCTGGCAGACACTATGCAGTGTTGGTTGATGTGCGGTGCGTGCGGCTTTGGGGAAAACTCTTTCATGCGGCGAATGATCGCCCCAGGCTTATGCATTTCAACGCGTTTCGTCTTCCTGATTCATAATTTTTGCATAACGACGAATTGTGTCTTCTTATTTGTATTTTATGGAAAAAAGGGGCAATAGTTATCTCATCTCTTGCTGCAGCTTCAGATCAATTTTGGTTTTGAAAGGCCTTTGATTAAGAGATTTCCTCTCATTGTCCATTTCTCAAAAACACACAAGCATTCATCACCAAAGATATTCCGTATGAAAACAGCTGTGGGATGCTGTCTACAATTCTGTTCTCTTCCTTTTCGAATTTTAGTGATTTTATTGCTATTGCAGCTGATGTGGATAATATTTTGTGCAGAATTTCATGATTCATCAAAATATGTCGAAAGTGTAAAATCTATATAGATAGGTATTAACAAAAATATGTGTGCATCGGCCAGGACGGAAAAGGGAATCTTGAACATTTGCAGATAAGAATTGAAGCATTCAGGAAATGATTTTGATGCAGTGCCTTCATACTTCAGAGTGCCAACTGGTCCAATCAGATAACGATTTCAATTCATTCCAATGCCTCAAAAATGTCGTTACTCCCTATCCAGAGGTATTGTGTATTTTGTAGTCTGATATCAGAATACAATTCCATTCCTCCGCAATTCGAGTTATCGATTTCCATTTGACCCATTCCAAAGACAAATTTAAACATACCGATGACATTCTTACCATCTCCCAACTCGCTTTCTCCCGCACAAACCTTGAACGCCACCCATTATCATGTCCTATTCGCCTGCCCGGGTGCAAACCAACCAGCTCTGTCTTCATTCCATGGGGATACACGTTCGCACTGCCTTAAGACACCTATGTAGTCAACTCCTTCACCAAGACAGATAGAAACACTCATAATCAAGATTACGGGCTGCGAAAAGCAGCATCCATCGCAAGAAAAAGAATAAGACGATGGGACAAGGCTCCGTGAATTAGAAAATCCCAGCTTGATTGTTAGTGGAGACAGTTTATCAACCGTATATAACTATCTTGCCGAGACTCCTCAGTCACCAGAATCACCAGAATGACTATCACCGTCACTGATAATGATATCTTTCACGCATGCACTACATGGCACCCTTTTAAAAACCTCCAAGTGCACTAGTATGACGTGCGCGACTTTGCAGTTTCCGCTTTCTGAGATTGGCGAGGATAAGGGAGACATGTTGACAGACACTCATATAGACTTTGGTTTCGCTGGAAATGCCGATCGTGTATCGATGATAACGCAGGTGATTTGAGAGAAAAGATATCAGGAGGTGGATAGCACTCGTGAAATGGTCTTTTAGCGTGTCGTCTTTCTTTTGCCCCTCCGCCTCAGTTTACCCCAGTTTGGGTCCATCATATATATGTGCGTAAACAAAACACATTTTGTTGAGTATATGGATTCCTCAATCTTGGGAACATGGGATCATCGTTTTTAAATAGTTGCCCTGACTTTGGCTGCTCTGGCAATGATTCTCATGAGTATATCCTGTGGGATTTGGTGTCATTTGTGGTTAAAAATAGATAACTCGTCTATTGCTATGATAAAGGATAATGTGTTTTCACAAAGGAATAAATGACAGAACAGCGAATCTCGTCACCTGACTTTTCAAGATCGATCTGATAAGATTGATAAGATCAGAAGGAGTTTATATCAACCACCCCCCTTTTTCTTTTTCTTTTTTTTTTTTTTTGTTGTTGTTGTTGTTCTCTGAGAATTGAGATGCGCGTATTTAGCTCAACTTTAAATGTCCATAATTTCTTACGATCTGTCTTTCATTCTCGTTATATAAAAAAAATTCAATGTAAGGGCGAGCTTTAACCGTAACTTTCACCGTTCTTGAATGGTTACTGATTTCCTCCACAGCCACTGCTCGTAAAAATAAACAACATAAAGTCTACGTACGCTACGAAGTTCTGTAAGGATAAGAGCAAAGTTAAAGTAAGATCTTCTGTCTTACTTCTAGTAGTTATCCTTTTCAGGCTCATCTCTATTTTCTCAGGTCTGCTTTCCCGCTACGCATGCATTTTCTCTGCACAATACCCAAGTTACTTCGCTTATGATCTCTTTAGTTCTTGACATAGAGCTGTGAACGGTTTCATTCTTTGTTATGTCTACACTTTTAGTAAACGACGAATATGGTTTGCCCAATTTCTTTGCAAAGACGGACACGTTTCCACGTTAAAGTGGGTGTGAAGTCCTTATCACACAACAACGTTGGACAAATTTCTTGATAAATCATTGCTCAATCACCGGGAAAGCATTATGAGAGATACCGCTACAGAAAATTAGGCAGATAGGGTGTATGGTTCTGTAGAATTGTGGGGGACTTCACCAATGTAAATGCAGACCCCTCTTGTCTCTCTACCTCCCACGCCGGTTGTAGATACGACATCTTTGAAGTTAAGTCTACCAGGGAAGCATTTACGTGTTACCATTACGGGGAGGACTTCTATCCATGCACCACTGCACGAAGGCCTACTTATCACCCTGTCACTCAACGCCTATAATTACCGGTCATATACCATGTGGGAAGTGACTTCAAACGTCTCTCATCGTACCCCATGCCCAGTTCGCCCTAGAAATGGTTGGATGAAACTCGTCGGTCGGCATACGGCATTTCGAACAATTTTGCTTAGCAGCAGTGCAAATGGACAGAACCACCGCAAGAACCACGTCGACAGAAACAGTCAATCTCAGACGCTCAGATACTCTAATGCGTGGATAATGAAACGAGAGGTCTGTTGCGCCAGACCCATTGACTGCTAATAGTAGCGAAGCTCCGCCATTTCAATTTGCAATCTGTCAGACCACCAGCGGTCGACTCTTTTGTAAGCTCAAGGCCCGCGATGCCTTCCTAGACGCAGCTTCCTTATTGATTATATTAAGAGAATTGGCAAGAGCGTATAAGGATAACTCTCTTCCAATTTAGTGCCGCTGTGCTGTCCAGCAGTTGCGTACCTCTGCGAGATGGCTAAGAGGAACAACCAGATGGACTGCTAGAGGAACCGGGATTGAGGAAGGCCGAGTAAAACGGCCGTATCTTGGTTAATTAATTGGCGGAATGCCAGTTCATTATTCGCTTTCTGTGTGAAAATTTGCTGCTATATCTGGTTATATCTTTCATTATGATAATAAGGTCGAATTGACCTTGGTCCCTAGCATCCGTTAAACCCCAGTCGGGCGGGCCATGGGGTTTCAATTTACTGTAGATACGAGGAAAGATTCGTCAATTTACAATGCGTTCATATTCTTGAGTTGTCCATCACAAGTTATCCATTGCATGGCGCGCAGATAAAGCACGGAATGCATTAGAAGTCCACTGATTTAACCCGCCTCACATGGCCGGATACAGAGTAGAGAAATGGTGTAACTCGATATTCACCACAGCCAGCCCTGGGGACAATATCGTCCCAGGAAAATCCAAAAGGGGAATGATTTCAGGGAATGATTAAGCCATGGATGCAGTTCAATGACCTGAAGTAAAAGGAATTTCTCTGGGAGAGCTGCAGGGATTGGGAAATACAACAGCAAGCTATCATATCATCTCCTTCTTGGAGGCCCGCACACAGAGTATCAAGATATAAAGAGCCAGCCTGGCAATAGCAGCCTTTCAGGTGGACCGTGATACATTGTCATCACGGCAAAGCGTTAAGGGAAAATTCGATCGTGGAAATCTGACCACGCTTAGCGAATTATTATAATAATGTGGGTCAAAACGTTGGATGCATTGTCTTCCTGGAGTGTTCCAAGTGCATAAATACCATATCGGGCCGACCGTTCATGTGTTCCATCATAGCTCTGACGCACCGTACATCCGGAGTTCGGAACATGGCAGAGCTTAGAGCTAGCTCCAAATTCGAATATCGCATATTGTCCAGCTGAAGGTTTCGCATATCTGGCGCGTATGTTCATCGAGGTTCGTGGGGACAATTGAGCTATTGAGCATGTACAACAAGACACAACCATGTCATGACAGCACTGACCAGCCAACTTAATGCTCCAAAGTCAACCACAGGCACAGGGGGGTCCGCCTCGATCTAGCTGCGCTAACTTCTCCAAAGAGCGAAGCATCCTCTCAGACGGGCTAACCATAGTGACCAGCTGTCAGACGGGAATCACCGTGCGGCCGATTAACAGAATATCCACCAAAAACTACGTCAAAACTCCCACTCCTCCTTTTTATTCTTATTTTTTTGCGAATTTCGGAACTAGTGCTCTAAAACACGCCATCAAATTGAGTTGTGTATGTAATTAGCAGTAGAAAGACATACAAGAACGTAGGGATGAGAAAAGGGGCAACTTGTAATTATAAATACCCGCAAAATCTACAGAGAATGGCAGGACAACGATCAGAGATTACTAAGCCAATGGATTCTACGCTTGATACCAGTAAACTTTTTAAACACCGAGTCGTGAAGGAGACGGCAATTATATCTTACTTTGAATACCAAGTTGAATCGCATGAATATCGTCAAAATTGAGTGGAAGGCGACAGCACACGTTCAATTATCAATCACAGTTTCCAGCCCTAGAATTTCTTATGCGCCTTACCACGATATGTCCAACATATCTTCACAGGCGAGCCCACAGTTAGCGGCCTTGTTGGGTTGCTTGTCGATGATCCCAGCTGGGCTGGTGTTGATTTAAACCAACAAGCATCGCACAGTCCTATGGCTAGCGAGATTGGACCATCACTATCGAGACGCTAAGTTAACTCAGCCCCGCAAAAAGCTCAACATCAACACGAGGCCGTCGAGCGTGGAGAGACATGGTCAAAACTCACAAAACACATCAAACAATAAACATCTTTTACAACAGCCACAGCCGCCACTCCACAAGAACGCCCCCTTCCTCAAAATATGCCCTGACCGTATAAGCATGTGCATTCTCATGGTCTCATCCAATCCACGAGCATAGTTAGTTGATGTTCTGTCAACATCTTTCCACGGGTCGTATCCCGCTGACAAGGTGTCGGGGGAGAGCCGGTCCTCTGCAATCAAACTGGTCCATCAGGCGCAACTAAAATGTGGCCTTTGGCGCTTTCCTGGGCTGAGGCTGAAACATATGCGAGAAATAGTATCTCGAGATTTGGGATGACTGAATCTGACTCCCAACTCAGCTGATCTGCACTCAGCAAATTGCCGAGAAGGATCAGAAGAAACCAAAAAGGCTCAACGTCAACCAAACCCATTCTGTGTTTGTTTTTGTTGAGACTTGGCATGCTTGAATTTTTTTTTTTTTTTTTTTTTATTATTTATTGTTTTTATTTTTTTATTTTTATTTTATTATTATTTCCCCCCCTCTCGGATACAGCCCATGCGCCTCTTGCATTGGCTATGAACCAAGGTCCCTGTTACAGTCTCGAGCCACTCCCTGGGCCAGATGCAAATATGCTCTCGCATTTTGGAGAGGAATTTTTTCTGTGTGTTGGCTCTTCACATACAATTCTATTCTTAGTGGCGAGACTGCATCATGGCTGGATTCTCGAACTTTGTTTTCATTAAACGGAGGATGATATACGAAACTTATGATTTACTTCGCACACAAATGTTTCTCCTTAGCGTTTGGCTCCCCCTATCAGTTCATAGAAAATTTTAGCATATATTAAAGGAGGACTTTTGTCCTTGATTTTGGCTGAAGACCGGTTGCCCCTTTTTGTATTCGTGTGTCCTCCTAGCCTTTTGTGCCTCATTTCAAGTGATATCGCCCTATATCCAAATCTAGTCTATCCCATTAAGAACCTGAGCAACGCGAAGTCGAGCAAGAGAAATGCCTTTCTTAAAACCTCTGTCCCTTAAGGCGTTGCTCCTCCTAGCAATGACCCTTGGCGCACTCGCCAACCCCTTTCCAAACCCCCAGAACGATGCTGTGCAATGCGGTACCAACATTTGCAACAACGGCGACGTATGCTGTAACGAAAGTTGCGGCATCTGCACTCCTCCCGGTGGTCTATGCACCCAGCAAGCCTGCAAACCACCTACAGATTCGGTTGATCGCCCTGTGAAGTGCGGTCCGAACACCTGCAAAAAAGGCGACGTGTGCTGCAACGAAAGCTGTGGTATCTGCACCCCTCCTCGCGGGGTTTGTACTCAGCAACTCTGCGAACCGAAAGACGTTCAATGTGGTCCTACAATCTGCAGGAGAGGCCAGGTCTGCTGCAATAAGAGCTGTGGAATTTGCACTCCCCCTGGTGGAGGGTGTACCAAACAAGCCTGCTTCCCTACCCCCGCGAAATGCGGCTCGACAGCCTGCCCTTCTGGCCAAGTGTGCTGCAACGCCAGCTGTGGAGTCTGCACTCCTCCTGGTGGGGTTTGTACCCAACAAATCTGTCAGGATCCTGCGACGACAATCACTGATATTTGATATGAATTAATTTGAACATTTTCTGGAGAATCTGTTAAAACAGGAAGTCTTTTACTTATCTACGGGGAAAAGTCATTTATACTTCACCGTCTGATCTTCTAATAGTCTATGTTAATGGATAGATTAGATATCTATGGTATTGTTTTGTTTAATTGGTCATCATTTTTTGTGTACAGACACAGATACCATCATATCAGAGACATGAAATAGCAAGCCAACTGGTTTCAGCTTATTTGTTCTCACCCATATCCGTATTGTGAATCACACAAGCTATTGCAACCATTGAAGAGCCTTATAACAGAAAAATAACACGAAACAAACAATGCTGGAAACTCGAGACAATCGTCCCTTTTTATACACATGCATGACTAGTTACCTCAAATGGCGAATAGAGCTCTAAGTACGTACCGCCTACAGATGTCGGAAGCCAACCTGAAGCTTAACGGAACCTTGGTTGATCTGTGGATAGAAAAAAGCCACTACCATATAGTTTTATTTACTTGGGGCTAGTCAAAGCTTTACCTCACTTCTAGGGCTAGTGTTCAGTACTCTAGATTTGTTTTTCCAGGTTAACACAGGAGTTCCCTGACAGTAGTTAGACATGCTGCATTGGGAGGAGGGAAGAAAGGCCAGAAAAGGAAATAGAAATGAACGCACACAAGTTCTACAAGAGAAACCGGGACAATCCAGGTGCTACCTTAAACCCCAGGTAGAAAAATAAGTCAAATCACTGTAGCACTCTTATAAAATCTCCAAGTCGTCAAATTCCACGACCAGGCCACCAGCTCGAACGCTACCACTCGCGATGTCCATGGCACGATTTCCCATGCTGTTTTCATGCTCCCTTGCCCCAGCCCCTGGAGCTTGACCTTGAACAAACGGATGCCCATTTCTCGATTCCCAAGCGGTACTGCTGATCGAAGAATTCGCTGGACGACTGGCATAGACACCAACGTGGACGTTCTTGGCCTCAACGCCCCAAAAGAAAGAGGTTACCTCGCGAAGTTTTCGCCAAGTGTTACTCAACGCACCGGGTGTGAGCGAATAGCCAGTTGAAGGCAATTGGTACCAAACCCAGAGCGAGTGGTCGATGCGCTCGAGTTTGATGCGCAGAGAGTCAATTGATGTAGGCTGGTTAGGTAGGGCCAAGGGACATAGACACCAATCCGCGCCATCCCCTGCAGCACTCACTGATGAAGCATTGACGGTCCCTGCGGAAAATTCTAGACCAGCCTTTACCCATTTGCAGGGTGTAGTGAGGCGGGGCGGGTGTGGGTATGGGGAAGGCGATTGATGCTCGCCAGGAGTATTAGTATCAGGATTACTGTTACTATTATTGTTATTACGGTTAATAGTTGGCCGTGGTGGTGCTTGATGGGACGGCGCAGGACCAGCAAATATAACTAATCCACCCTGATCGCATTCCATCTCCCAGTCAGCTGTGACTGTCACCTCCGCTATAGTGAACGGCTCACACAGCGATGTAAACAAAATGGGCGCTGTTAAAGTGTCACAGTCGGGTAGTTTGCGCCAAAGATTGGTATTGGGTGCTGCTCCCAAGCTGAAATGGTCCATGCATGCTGGGAGAGAGATATTTGATGGCAGGTTCAGCGGCGTAAAACACGATCTGTCGGGTGGCATCGCTGCAAAAACTGATCCCGCTGATATATCACGGATCGATGTCTACACAGAGCGCGTCAATTCAAGTCCGCGGTTCGTCTTCCTCCTCCCCCAGATACCGAGATATCCTTGCTTTTGATGTCAAATATTTCGGCGGAGATGTGTCGTTGATCGGTCTCTCTGCCTTCCCTTTGGTTTTTTAGTCGAACTCTGCCACAGTTCTGTCCACGGAGGTCTGGGAGAATGTGAGCGAAATCGTGAATCCCCGTTGACCCTAGTTAGTATATTTTTGGAGATATCCTGACTGTATCAACAGCTGGCCTGCTGGCTTGCTGTCAGAGCATCGAGCTAAGCACCGCTGGTTGTCAGGTAGGAGAGGTGCCCCAATTTCTTGCTTGTGTATGTAACGGAAGGGCGATTTCCAAATTTCTGCGTAATAACCGGAGAGTTATCCAATCATTCGAAAAATAGCTGCTGTATGGATTGCTGCTACCGCGGATATAACTGAAAATGACTGAAGATCTTGAAAGGGGATTTATTATTACATAGGTAGTAGTTATAGGAAGTCGTTAATTAACGAATTAATAATTAAGTGGCGGATAACCCCAAAGGTGTTTTATTCAATAACTATATCCAAATAATGCACATCTCCGAGAGGCGTGAGCGGGTGAAAACATAGAGCTCCAGCGGAACTTCAGTGTGGATTATAAGACCAGTGGCGTTTTTTTTTTTTTTTTTTTGAAGCCAGAAACGAATGGCAAATGTCAAGCGCAACGAGCGAATGGAGAAGAAAACAGCAGAAATCAAAACAGAGATATATTTTCTCAAGCTTTGGATGGCGATAAGCGAGTGATTGAGAATAGAAAAAGGCAGATTCGCATATTAAAACGAGGGATGAGAGGCTTAACTACATTTTCGATTAGGAAGAAATGAATATGCCAAATATCGCGGCAATTCTTTTCATTTCGGGAGGATGATTTCTCCGCATCTCGACGCATTTTACGAATGGAGGGGAAAGAGAAAGTTTGACATCTTTTCCCGAAGAGTAGACACAAAAACAATGCATACAATGTGCATTGACCCAACATCCGTCTCTGATGACGGCGATATTACTCCACCTGGCCGCACTGTCTCCTTTCCTACTGCATCACCCATTGAAATCCTGTCCACTCTGATCCCGGTAGCCTGGTTCAGAAGAGATTTCACAGAGGACGGGATTCGTAGCTTTGCTCCAAAAGGTCCGTGGGCATCCTGCTATTAGATGAGCTCATGGTCAGCCAACCAGATATTGCCAAAGGAAAACCTGCATGCTACAAAATCTGTATACTGCAGGACGATTTTCTACATGTAGTTGCTCTTCGTTTTCGGAAAATTTCAATGGGGACAAGCCTCGCCGAAAAAGAACTCCATGGATGCAGGTTGACCGTGCCGGACAGGGCACAGGCCTGGGTACTTTTTAAGTATGCTCTTCACGCGTTCATTCACTAGGGATGACAGAGGGTTTTGCAGTTAAATAACCAACCATGCTGATTCTGGCTGATCCTCCACTTGCTTGCATTAGCATAGGTTGGTGGGACCATCAACCCCTGCTTTTTGCCACACTGCGAACGTCAAGCCCTCTGAACCTGGAGGGTTACAGTATGGAAAGATTCAGGAAGACACGTACAAAATTCGCAGTAGCTATTGATTAGGCCATTGATAAATAACGAAACCAGTCTCTATCGTTTGCTGTCCACGTAGCAGTTAAGCTAGGAGTACGAGGCGCCTAACCGGGTCGATAGATTTCATTAATTTCAATTCCCGCTAACCCAAACCCCACCCTCTCTCCTGCCGATACATAATTTCTTTTAAACGGAAAAGAAAACACAGCCTGGACCAGATGGACCTGCTTGAGAACGAAAACCCCAATTCGTCATCTGGTCCATTCCTTCGATTTGGCAACATGGATTATGTCCAGCCCGTTGTATTGGGACCGCACCGGTCATGAATTTTCTTTCAACCGCTGCACCAGGCGTCAGAGCCTATCTTCTCCGAAGAATAGATGAATGGGGTTAATGTTGAACATTCTTAGCAGAGACGGGAGGTCGAAAATAATCAGGGTTAAAAATCAATGATGGCTTTCAAATAGGTTTTCTCAACTCAGCCTTATGGTGGTCTAGCCCGTTCACTCTAATTATAACTCTATATGGGCTGTAGGATCTGGAACAAGACAATTCATAAGAGATAGCTTTCTGCACGGGGAGCTAAATTCACTCGCAGTGCTCCAGGGTTCCAAGCGCATAGATCTCCTGTTAGATCAGAGGATCATGCGTGTGGTGAAACATTCATGTTAGCACGCAGAATTTCTTCTATCTCAATGCAAGTGCTTTGTCTCACTTCTAACGGACAGGAGTTGATCTCCAAAAGAATGCCTCAAGCAATTCACGATCTACATGCTCCGGGAGAAGATCCGCGATTTCCTCACTGTTCATTTCAAACTGGTCGAGTTGAAGAGCACCCTTGTCCAATTCCGCCATTTTGACTGTTGGGAAAGCCCTGGTGAAGAGCCATAGTTCGCTGTCAAAACGGAATCAAGCCGTGCTTCGCGTCCATACACTTTGATCGTGACTGTGGCTTCCACACCTTGAATGATCAATACTTGATTGTCCCGCAGCGGAGGTGGATCAAAGTGATTGTGTAGCATTCTGGGGATGAGCACACCCGCATCTGCCAGTTTGCCCAAAGCAAACATTTTGTTGGCTGAGACGACACATGCCCCGTGTGGAAGCCTAGCAATGACACCTCTGTTGATTGAACGGCTAATCCGGTGGCTGCCATTGGGCAAGGGTGGGAACTCTAATAGGATGCCTCCAGCTGCGCAATTTTGTCTTCTTGCAGAGTTCGCAGGATAAACGTGATAGGCTAGTTATTTACCAGTTGGGAAGGTAATGTATTCACAACTCCACGATCAGTTCCAGCTCTAGCGCCACTTAGCCTCTCGAAGTAGGTCAGATGGAAATGAAGGTGCGCCTGCGTTGCCTTGGGGTGCCTGGAACCTGACGAATACCAAATCCAAAAATCCTTGGAGCTGTCTGTGGCCCATGGTTGGCTTTGCAAATGCATAGGAATTGGTGGATAACCAGACACGAAACCTGGTGTCTGGGATTATCAGCTCGCAACTTTCTTCGGTGAGGCAGGAGAGGGAATTCTCTGGGAAGAGTTGAGGCAAGTCCAGAGCCAGCTGGACTATACTTGGCCACACAGAGGTGAAAAAGGAGTTTCTCTTAAACCGCATTCTTCTTGCAGAAAATCACGCAAGGTATAATAGTCTAACAGACCAGAGGAACGAGGGTTGCTGAAATCGCTTCTAGCTGCTCGATGAGTTCTCGCCAGCTCATGATCTGGGAGGAGAGCATGGTTTTGAGAATTTGCCAGGATGGGACTTCGTCATTGAATGATTCGAGGAGGCTAAACCAGTCAACGCAGAGCAAACCTATGGAGCAGGGTAAAGCATAGAGCCTTACTTTGATGGACAGGGCAGGTTCTTAGAACCTGGCCGCCAATAGGGCGAGGTATATCAAAAGCAGCAAATGGGAATGTCAGGTTTCAGAACCTCATAATCCTTGCAGATGAAGTTGGATGAGAAGATTCATGGGAGTTAGATTTTATCCGAGGGATTGCGGGACCGATGTCAATGCGGGGCGATTACCACCACACTCATTTTTCAAGCAAGCAACAGAGTTCCTCAACATCTTCTGGGGTCTGGATACAATCCGAAATTCTTAGACTGCAGTTAATGACACAAAAAACATTCTTCGTTAGCAAAGGTCTGATTTTTCATTGACTCCTCAGAGTCTTGGCAGCATTTGATGGGGGGTTAGCCAAAACATGTGATTCTCTTTGTTAGCCTCTTGTGGCGCATATATGTCAACCACGTTTCCCTGTTCAACGAAGATTCATAGATCGATCCATCCAACAACTTAGCACACCCTCAATATATGATGTGATTGTCTCTCCTGTGCTTAGTTTGAAGTAGACCCCACTAAGCTCAATAATCCTTTTTGCAGCCTCATCCAGGCTAATTATACCAGCTCATTTCCTCCCTGTTTTCAGACCAACATATCTTTTCGACAAGCGTGATCTTGTCGCTGTCATTAAATCGCGTGAAATACGGAGCACAAGCATTTCAACAACCTTGAAACAACCTCCTCAAAATGGTATGCTCCAAGTGTCAAAGAAAGCTCAAGAAAACCGAGCTTGCCACTCCGGCTATCAAACGGAAGAATGATATGTACTATGGCTCTCCACACAACACCATCGGAGGAGGTGGCGACACAAAGAACAGATCGTCTGCAACACTAGGCAATACCGGAATTTCAAAGGTATGTATCTTTTAGCCTGAGTTGACCAGGATTGGGGCGTCTGTTGTCCGATCTCCCTCGCTTCTTGTTGTTGCTATCAACTTGGTTAGTCGAATTCAATGTATTTGCTTGAATTCAATGCCCTTGTGGCATATTTTGATTGAGTCTCCAGTATCCCGTTGTCCATTTTGCCTGATGATAGTCAAACGCATCATGAACCTGTCTTCTGCGGTGGCTATTGTCTTTTATGAGCGCCTAGTCATCTATATGATGTTTTGCTACTACTCCATATGCATTTGATCAAAAAAATCCTTGAGACGGAGGCCTTCCACCTTACCCGTATACTGCAGCTATCGGATTAATGCAGCTAATTGTTTCCTTCGTTAACTTTTAAACATCACCCCAAGCCCATTCAAGCCTAGAAGCACACCGGTCTTTGGGAACTTCCACTGACGCTTTCCACACAGAATAAGCTCCTCACCAGCAAGGCTAAAAACCCCTATTCCGCATATTCTAGCGCCTGTGAGTCTTGCAAAGCCAAAACAGAACAAGGAAGGAAATTCTGTCAACGGTGTGCTTATCAGAGAAATGGTAAATATTCCTGTTTCTGTACACTTTCCCATGCGTAATTTACATCTCTTGATATCACGATGCTAATATCCCATTCGCAGCTTGCGCAGTGTGTGGCAAGAATTTAACGGCCACGGGTAAAGAGTCAAAGGAGCATCCCGTCGTACAGGGACATAAATTTAATTGTAAATGAGTGACATTTACTACGTGGTACGTCGTATGGCTAATTTCTAAGAAGCACGTACGTGCGAAACCTGCCCGTTTCATGCGAATATTTTCTTCTGTGGTTTGGAAATATGGTATGGCGGAGACCTTACTTGATTCACATATACTTCTGGTATGATTTTTGAGAGTCTCTTTTGGATTCGTCGCTTCAGGCGTGAAATTGGCGTATGGCGTTTCCAATACGGTGGGGGGTGGAAATTACGGTTTGTTTATTCTGATGCGTACATATATCGTTTTCTTGGGAACCGTTTTTGAATTCTATGTAAGATATTCTCCGTTTGATGTTTTAATGCTAGGTTTCTATAAACCATAAAAGAATTGTACGGATCATCGATCCATTGGCTTCGGTTTAAGGAACCGCAAGTTGGTTTTCAGTACAACGAAAGAGCTGATAACATGAAAATTCACACAGCTTCGTCAGATGCTACAGATCTAATTATACAGAAGATACGCACTCATACGTATAAAAAAAGGGGGGGCGGGAAGGGGACAAGGAAATAAGAAACGCCAAAATAAGAGCTCCAGAACAAACCGACAATCCTTTCGTTGCCCGGTTTAGCCCCATATATCAATAGGTGTGTAAAAAGGGGTGAAGAACACGGGTAGTAAGGACCCGATTCAACTCACACTTATCCAGTGTACCGTCTCCGAAACCAATCTCCCATGTTGACCTATTTACCTATCTTCCAGCATATTTTTTATCGAACTCCAATAAACTGGTAACACGTGCTTCGGAATCTCATCTTTAGCCAGCCACTTGAAGTCCGTAATGCCTTGGGTATTGCCAGTCAGATCTGCTTGACCTGCCATGATTCTTCCTTTCAGGAAGAATGTTTTTTCACCGCGGAACTCGATTCCTGCTTCCGGGTTTGGTTTCGGTCTGCGGAGGTTGTACACGTAGTGGCCGATGGGATGGTGGCCGACCATCCAGGTGTTCATGTTGGGGCCAGCAGAGTGAAGGAGAGCACGTTCAGCTGCCTATAGTTTTGCGACAATTTTGTGGTTAGCTTGGGATGTTGATTATCATAAGAGCCGGGTGGAACCAATGTGAAAAAAAATATTGGTTGCCTAAGACAGGGTTGCCCAAAGCGAAGAATCAAAAAGCCAAGGACAAAGAGAAAAGGAAAAAAGAAACTGGATCAACTGTACCATTCTCAAACTCTCCTTTTCCTCCAACGTCACAGCGGGAAATCTCCAAAACGTCCGCTCCCCGTTCTTCACTTGCACTAATAAGTACAGCGTCCGATGCAACAACCGGTCCAAACTCCTCTGATCTCCCTTTTTATCTGCCTCCGTAACCCTAGGAAGCGGTCGTGGCACCTCATCTTTCTTACTGTCCCCCTCATCCGAATCAGGATGACTCTCCACATCCTTCAGCAGCGCATTAATCTGGTGTTCCGGCTCAGACTCCACCGACCCAACAAGCAACTCATCATTCCACGCCTCTTCTGAATACGCATTGTATCGCCCGATATCCCTCGAGGGAGTCAGGCGCTCTTTAATCTTGCGCTTCCAGTCGACGTCAGCAGGCGTGTCGCGTTTGAAGTAGAAGTATCGTGTGAAGGGGAGGGCGAGACGGTCATTTAGACGCCGTTGGTAGAAGTAAAAGGCTTTCTCAAACGAGGTAAGCTCACGGGTAAGACGGGGTGGGCGGGAGAGGACGATTCCGGCTTTAATGTCGTATGTGGGCTTTAAGGCTGGAGACGTGGTGATGGTAACTGGAGGTGTGTTTTGAATGGTCGATGATGTCGATGGAGCTACAGTCTCTGCGGCAGTGGCATACCCGCGGCGACTGAGAGTTTCTAGACAGCTTCTGCACACTGCGGAATCAAATTTTGGTGGCCCTATATCAATTATCAAATTAACATGTATGCCCCATAGCTCACAGATATTGAGGGTCGCAAAGCATTCAAGACCACATACTCAGAAGCGTTGCAACACGCCTAGCGCCATTGGTTCCTGCAGCCATCCTAGGACTAGCGGTCGCCAATTGCTTCTGTAGGATGTCCAGTCAATGTCCAAGCTGTTGCTGCACTTCAGCATCAAACGTCAACGAGAATCTGAAAAAAGTCACCTTCAAAATGCTAGGGCTTTAGATCGGGTTGCGGGGACTTGGCACGCTAATCTAATTAAAGCTTAGCTGGTCATTTTAGTTACACGTGATATCGCTTCTGGTTTCGCTTTATCTTCCACCGCAAAATTTTCTCTAGCTGTTTGATTCTTCTTCTCTTTATCTTCAAATTGTGGCACAAATCCTTATCATCAATTGCTTCGTTTTACACTTCTACAGCTATTTGATCATTTAGCCGTGCCTAGAAGAAAGATTTTTTGTCATTGCGGTCAATTTTCGCTAGCGGTACCTTCGTTCTCTAAGGTGTACTGTTAGATAGCTACTGCAAACAGTGATGCTAACAACAACGGTTGCATTTCAGCCCAGTTCTTCCATCCCCGTTTGTAATAGTATTTCCATTGTGAATACAAAAACATTGCTTGTTGTTAATTTTTTATTCCTCGGTTTAAGTGCGATCTAAGGATCGGTTTCTTCCATCATATGCTGTGAATAATTGCAGTTTTCTTCATATCGATGTTCCTCTTCCTCTCTCAATTGATGTGGTCCGTTCAAATCACACATTTCATTTGCAGTCCCAACGACCCGGAGTTTGTTCCTATAAACCTTCCAGAACTCTTCTGAGAATGTAGGGGTGAGCCCTGCTGTTTTTCTGTTCTGCTGCATGAAGGCTTTTCCTGGGTTCTTCGAAACTGCGAATTTGGGTCCAAAACAGGTGGCTGACTTCAAGCAACAATGTCTGTTCAGTCAGCAAGCGGGTCTGATGTCAATTGGAGTAGAAAATGAGTGAATGTATTCGGGAAACTTCCGATTCTGTGTCCCAATTCACTGGCGCCTGTCTTGGAACCGGTTTTTCGCTAAGTGTCCTTCCTGGCGCCTTGCCAAAATTTGACACCCGTGAGGTCGAAGATGAGATGTATCTGGGAATAGCTGGGGTCCGATTCATCTGTGTTTATGAGTTTATCAACTTTATTTTCAGCCTGATTTCGCTTATTTAGGACGGTCTTGAACTGTGCCCTCGACAGACCGCTAGTACATTTGAGTGAGCCATGCATACATTCTCCTCCGAATGGTTGGAAATTGGCCATTCTCCTTGTAACTTCGCAGCAAATCAGATCAAGGCCCCTACCGTAAGCAGGCTGACTGTCGTAGCCTGCTTCCTGAAGCGGTTTATCAGTTAGATATTGGAATGCTCTGGGTCAACGCCTAGAAAACTGTTAGCTTCGTTGGCCTTATTTTGACTGGGACTAACCTACAAAATTTCGGTGTCTTCTTCAACACCAAACAGCTGTAGATTTGGATCAGGGACGACGAGGGTATCGTTAAATGAACATTGCGTGTTGCCATATATTTCGTGTCTATTACGAGGGGGAACAACCCATGGATATGTCCGACCAGCGCAGGCTTCCTTGATCTTAATTTTGACCTCAAGCCCTCGAAGTAGCTGAACAACATATTCCCATGGAGTTGGTGCAGAACTGGAGACACAGCCTAGAAAAACTCTTTGAGTCCATTAGATAAAGGTCGCCGCCTACCACCCCCTTAACAACCCAATGAAACCCGATTTGTTGAGAAACTCGCTCCCGAAGGACTCTTGATTTGTCAACTAGTAAGTACTCCCCTCCCCGCTTGTTATAGGGGATAATATGAACAAAAGTTTTTAACAGGATTGGGATGCTCTGCGCAAACCAGCCGGTGGACCAAACGCTTTCGGTATCCGCTAAGGCAAAACGTCTTTCCTTTCCCTACTACATCCGCATTATTACTCAATTCGAGCCCGCAAGGCTCCGGAACGTTTAGGCATTCCTCTTTGTCCTTTCGACCTTTAGTCATCGTCAAAAATTAGTTAGATATAAGACTGTCAAAGCCTTACTCCTATATTGCTAATCCAAGCTTCAATGAGCCGGCGAATTTCAGCTAAAAACACTAAGGATTCAGTGCTCAGGTTATCGCTTTTGATGTGCGCGATTGTTGCCATCCTATGCTCCGTCTTTACCAGTTTCGCTGTCGTCTTTGCCTCCTCGAGACGCAAATTGCGGTCCTCCCTCCATAGCGCTTCCATCCTGAATCCACTCTTTATTAAGAACTCGATCGTTTCTTATTCGGCAAAGCGACATTGGCTGAATAATACATTGTCATAGATGACCTGGGGAAACAAACCACTGTTTTGATATGGCCATCGCCCTTTCACACCCAATTTCGAATCAAGCACGGGGTTTAGGTGGAGGTTGTACGGTCTCAATACATAGGCCCCTATATTACATTTAGCATCAAAACATCAAGCATTGGACACTCCCAACGTTCTAACAAGTCTCATTGTCCTCCTTCACAAAAGTCAAACCAATTTGCAGCACTTGATATGTATCGGCAGCGTCTTTTACCTCCTCATATCTCGCCTGAAGAGTCTATTTCCATCCCCAAACGCCTTTTGCAAGTGCTAGGTCCCGGTCGTCTAGTTGCGATGCCAGAGAACTCTAGATCCAGCGCAATGAAAGTGCATTTGGCCATGTCATTGAGGAGTTGTGGTAGATGGTGCTTAAAAGATTGCCTGGTCACATCCATATTGAGATAGTCTCCCCCGTCCAATGTATGGAGGCAGATCAAACCTCGGCAGTCAGTAAGCTAAGCAAAACCTTCCAAGCCCGAGAAGGTGGAGGTCCCGTGATCTGGATTTTGGCCGAGGATAAACTGCAGGCCAAAACTACGGCAAGGGAAGCTCGCAATCCGAACGGACTAACTGCACTTAAACCGTGATAATCTAAGTCTACCGGATTCCCTCCACTCCTAATACCCTTCCACCTCTTTGCTTCACCTGCTTTTATTGTTGTTGTTCTAGTATTTTTTTAGTATCAGAAATTATTTGAAGCCAACGCATGATGTCAGGAGACGGCTTCTCCAGGCCCTCAAAGCCGCCACGCCTCTCGTCCTCCTCATCTCTGTCATTCTCATCCTCCAAGCAAATATCGCAGGCGTACAAACAGTCCTCGCAATTATTTCTCACACGACGATTACAAGAATCACTCTCTGTTATTGAGCCCATTATCACTCCCTCCTTATCGCAAGATGGGCAGCAGGATGGCCCAGCTCCAATTGCCACAGCTTCAAACAGTCTGCGCAAAAAGGTCTGGAACCTTTACATTTCAATTCTCAATGCCATTGTTGACCTTGGCCCCGAAGAGGGCCGAAAGCAATTTGGACAAAAGGAATGGAAAGCTCTTGCTTCAAAAGTTCGCGATGGTTCGCTCTGGGACATCGTCTCCCGGGTCGGATATGGCGGCAGAGACGGCTCCATAGATGCTGACGTCGTTTACAACATGTAAGTTTCAATAAACAAGGTGGTAATATTCTAAGGACATCGGCGATGCTAATGTGGGGCTTCTGTGTAGTGCTACTCTTATTCTCACCCATTCCCCATCTCAAAAGCTCAATCAGCAGTGCCTTGAAAACTACCTGTCCTCCTCCGGTCAACCCGACCTGGACATTGAAGCCCACATAGAGAATTCGCCCCCTGGGAAGAAAAAGCAGAGAGCATCTCATGCAAACGGGACAGATACACCAAAAGATCTAACAGCACGGGTTCGCATATTAGAGCTCTTCACCCTCCACGTTCTTCCTCAAAACGATGAATGGGACTATGCTAAAGAATTCATCAGCTTGAGTGAAGTTCTTGATGACGAAAGGAAGGAAGCCTTCCTCCAAACACTAGAAAATCTACGAGAAGAAAAAGAGCAAGGCCTGCTACGCTCTGCAGAGCTACAGCGGGAAAAAGAAGCGGAATTAGAACGCCAGCGACAAGAGGAACAGGGACGGTTAGCTGCAGAGCAAAAAGCGGCTGCGGAGAAATCACTTGCGTCAAAACTAGTAAACGGTCATCAAAGAACGAGCAGCGAAGTCGACTATGGAATCGAAAACGGAGTTCCCAACGTCGGTTCGTCCACCAAAAATCGAATTCTGAAACCCGCAACAAAAGTTGGGAGGGCGTCAGCGTCGACAACAGGCCGGTCTGCAGCTGAATCGTCTAAGCAAGTCAAGAAGACTGGCAAATCAAAGCCGGTCATCAGGCAGATGCGTATGCTTGCCAATTTGCTAGTCGCCCTCGTCAGGTACATCGGTCGATCCATGTCTGCTAACCCGCTGTCATTTTTGCGTACCCTTCTTATCGTCTTCGGTGCTCTCTTGGCCCTCAGTCGCGCTAATGTGCGTGCTCGGCTGCGCAGAATCACCGACTCTGGATGGCAGAAGATTCGCGGTACTGTGGGTATGGGCGTTAAGGTCAGTTATATATAATAAGGATGACTGGGGACCTCTTGCGGTAATAGATACCTTTTCCTGGTCCCCTTTTTTATTTCTTGTGTATTTACTTCTGCCCTATCGCTTCTTACTGCTTATTTTTTTTTTATATACGGAAGGGGTATGTCTATTTATCATGATAGGGACAATTCCATACGTATAGCTTTGGAATGATATTTAATCAGATAAGCATATAGTGGCGTATGCGTTTCCACATGCCTTTTCTAGAATATATTGAACTCGTTTTTCACGGCTGATAGCTGATTGAGTAGAAGTTTAAGATATTTATCCGGGGAATCAATTTCTACACTACTCTAGGTCAAAAGCAATCCACAAATACGGCTTCCATCTCGCGAAGTCATTAAGTCATAAATTCAATATTCCCCCGTTAATATATGCACGACAGTTTTTCTGAGGGAAGAACAAAAGGAAAAATAAATAAAAATAAAAGGAGAACCCCTAATTAGTGTGGCCAACCAATTTCAAAAAAGCTACCCAATTTCCTTCAATTGCCCCTCTCCACGCTCAGCAGCAGCATTAACCCCATTCCGCTCTCCATGTATCCCACTAGTCCCGCTCCCCGTTCTCACGTTTGGACTCAAGCGCTGCAGGTCGCAACCAGCTAGCGACCCACTCCTCTCCTTTCCTTTCCACTTAGCCTCCCTTTTCTTCCCCCACCATTTAAAAAGCCGCACCATGAAATGGGCACAAAATATTTGCTCCGTCGTATATAGGATGACCGGTACGGTTAACTTGGCAACAAGGAGCAGATCTACCGTAGGGTACATGGCATAGACCATAGGGATGCCAAGACTGGTGGTCTTTGCTGGGCCGCAGAAACAGATAGCAATAGTTTCCACTGGAGGGCTTTGGTTAATGAGGCAGGAGAGGAATGCATGTGGGAGGGATTTTAGCTTTGCTTTTGTTGACGTTGTTGGCGTTGGCATGGCGGTTCTTGGGCGTTTCTGACGGGGGACGAGAGCGGATGGCGGATGTGCGATTAGGAAACTGATGCCTGTGAGAGCGATGTAAAAGCCTACGTTCAGCAGCGTGATGAAAATGAGCGTTTGGCTGCTGAGTGATTTGAGGGCGCCGGTTGAGAAACAGGTTGAGAAACTAGCCCTACATATTGTAAAGGGGGTTGAAAGGTCAGTCAGATAGAGTAACTAATCTGGAGGGAGGGTTTACACGAGCATGTATCCTCATCTCCCAGGAAAAAGCTGTCCCATCCACAGCGTCACAGCGCAATCAAATAAAGGTATTGACCCAAACTCACCAAATCACCAAAATCAAACATACAGTACTCAACTTTGCCAGATGTAGCTTCTGCATCGCCCATACAATTTTCTCCGCCCACATCCATCGAACCACTTGCCCCACAATCAGAGGTAGGAAAACACTGAGTCCTAACCTTTTAAACACGCTCTCATACATACCCTTTAAGTCCTTATTCGATTCCTGCCAAACTTCAAAGGCCGGAGTCCTGGGCATCAATGTCACCGCCCAACCAGGCGTGATAAAGGGGCCCAAGACATTCGCCAGAAACACCTCAACCAACGCAGCCTCCTCGTCACCGCCTGCAGCTCGAGTCATCACCACATTCGACGCAATCGTCGTCGGCAGGCATGCCAGCACGGTATACCCTGCCAGAACGGCCCTATCGATCTTTCCGGCGTGGTCCGTGACATCTATCAGGCGCACCAGTCCACACATGATGGCAGGAATTATCAGAAATGAAACGCCCTGTGTTTTCGCGTGCAGGCGGAAATTCAGGACGTGTTTGAGTAGTTTGTCCTTGGCAATGGAAAGGCCGCTCATCAGGAAGATGAAAGCGACGGCACCGTAGAGGATAGAATTCTCAGCCTTGATGATGCCGCCGTGCTTTGCGACCTGGGGAAAAAGGTAGGCGAGCAGACATGCCAGGCCAAAGGCAATGATGAGCCATTGGTGAAGAATGAATTTGGCAATGTTTGTTGGAATGGAAGGCCTTTTCGCTTCCTCCTGCTCCTGCACCGAGGCGGTAGAGAGAGATCGGGTTGCCATAATGGAGACCTGTGTCTGTTTCCTCTCCTCTGTCATGGCATGGGCCAGATAAATACTTCTTTGTGAGGTGCGACGAATACCCTATATATATCAATAGGGGGTATATGGTGTGCTTTTTTGTATTTCCTTCTCCTTTATTTGGACTCGTGGAATCATGCCCCGGCTATATGCCGCGCCGTGTAGTTCGCATTGAACGAATCCTAGCACCGTTATCGTAAATTTTTCAAAGAGACCCACATATGTATGTATCTCCTAGTCGTGAATAACTATCGGTTGCATCGATGATACTGAGGCATTCAACTCCCAGCTCCGCAAAGAGATTGGTGATGTAGAAACAGGGTGGGGTTTTGTATAGGAACCCCAGGAAAGAAAGAAAAGGAAAGTATGAAAATGCACCGAACGGGTCAGTCATGCACTCGGCTGCGAATACCACTTTGCCAGCCTGGAAAATTTAAGCAACGGTTGAAAATAAGTTGCAGCTCAGATGCGACTGGATGGCATGATGTGGAGAATTACAGGAATTCTCTCTCTCTCTTGCCCCCCACCCCCCAATTTATGATTTCCTCATAGCCGACGGATGGAGAGAGCGATGATGTCAATGGGATGTTCTCGACATCGGGGTGTTTTTCTCTGATATAACGTAATCCACCCACCTAATGCTGTGATGTAGTAGGTGTCTTGTGAAATTCTGACGCAATTTTCGCTTGAGAGATTGCTCAATCCTGACAGTATATGTATGACAGCTGCAATTGAATATTTATTTATTTATTTATTTATTTATTTATTTATTTATTTATTTATTTATTTATTTTGCCATGGCAGCAGTGTCATTTGGGGAAGCTGGTTGTGACTTTTGCTGAAGTGCCAGTTGGATAACAGATTCATTGACCATGCATGCATGACATTGGAGATTGAAGGGAGCTGAGAACTTTGAAGCTTTGTTTTCCTCTTTTTTGACACAGGCATTCAATGGTGAAATTCCATTGCTGAGATGTCAGATGGAAAATTCGAGTATTTAAATTAGTGTAAGAATCTTAAAATATCTTATTTATTGCCCTGTAATGTCGTGGAGGTTGAGATACAACAGTAGATCCCGTCGTCCTGCGTACTGCGATTTGTCGGTTATTGCAGATGACAGGGACATCCATAGCCAATCAGTGAGTCTCCAAAAAGAAAAGAAGAAAGAAAAGAAAAGATCATCCTATCGCAGATCGAGTCCTGGCAATGCAGACTTATTATGCAACAGGGCGAGATCACCAACCTGCGTACAATAATAGTATTCATTCTTTTGCTTTCGTTCTCCAAGCAGGCAACCATTCTCTGATTTCCTAGTATCCCCTCTCATATATTTATATCCCATTTTACGCGAAGAGTTCAATTTCACTACAATCTTCAGCAGCCGAACTTGAAAACCATCCATCAACTTCCTCGACCTGCTGAAGCATGCAAACTTGTTGTGACGCACTGGTAGCTCCTCAACGCAAGAATCAAACCATGGTTTTCACTCAGGTACGACTCCATCCACGATAGCCTCATCATCCAAAATCCCCTTCTTCAAAAGTTGCTCCCGTCCTCCCACCAGTCGTTGTCGTCTTCCGTTTTCCACATCGGGGCCAAACTGACAAAGTGCTTGCTCTCTCTCTCTCTCTCTCTATATATATATATATATATATATATATATATATATCTCTATCTCTATGCTTCCATAGCTATCCAGAACAGTGGTGGGTTGCAAGAAGTTTCCACCACGGCGGCGTTGAATCGGGACCTTCAAACCTCGGCATCGGTTCCATAAAACTAGTTCCACGCGCAGGATTGTCAAAACCAGTCACTTGACCCCGGCCAAGAGTAAGATTAGAAGTTAGTCATTGCACTCGGCAGAATCGCGGTCTGCCTTCAGCCACACACATCCCTCTCTCCCCCGCAGGCCCGAGATTACCCGTGCCCCGCCGATCGACAGTTTCAACTGCGGATTGCCCCGCGTAACTTACTCCCCCCCCCCAAACCAACCAACCAACCAACCACGGGAGCCCTCCTGCAAAACGCCCGCACTAAGAATAGGCGAAGGAGAACGTTTGCCCTCTGTTGCCGCTCGCCTCAAGTGTGAAAAGGAAAAGGGGAGGGGGATATTTATTTGGGATGGCACGGCGGGATGTGAGGTTTTTTTTTTTCGATGGTATTGACGGAGCTCAACATGCTGTCAGAGAGCGAGTGCTGGCTGACTGGCTGGCTGACTGGCTGGCTGACTACTACTGACTACTACTGACTATTACTGACTGGGGCGGCGGAGTTGCGCAGGTTCCGTGGACCTCGGGACTTGCGGCTTCGGTGGCCCTCGCCGTCCGAAGTCGCCTTAACTCGTTTATTTCCCATGCTGCGGGCGGCGCAAGCAGAATATGTTGGGAGGCTGGGTTCGCCTTGTCACCGTCATCAGCTAGTTACGCTGCGGATCCCACAAGTTTCACTTTGCTCTGTCGAAGGTCATGTTTTTCTGCCCCCCAAGAGTATTTTTCCCTGCTCTGTGCCTGTTCGTTTCTCGGCTTAACTGGGCGATTAAATATCGATGGTACGCCGCCCGCCGCCTGGGGGAGTGAGTGACACGGTCCATCCTTCGGCTCAGGAAACTCGGCACAGCGAAATACTCCCCGCTCCTCATGCAGAGAGGGTGGCGTGCCCTATGCAGGTTAATATCTCTTCTTGCATTAAACCAAAGAAAGGTATATGAGCTCACCTGCAGCCCCACCTTTTTTTTTTTTTTTTTTTTTGCAATCCTTAGCTCCCGGTACCAACTTGTGCCGTATCTAAGAAGACCCTTTCGATTTTTTATTTTTTATTTTTTATTTTATTTTATAATTCACAATTTTATAATTTTATAATTTTTATTCTTTTTGTAGGAATAGCCCCATTGTGCCTTTTCAATCTCCCTCGGCTTTTCTAGCAGGATACTTGTATTTTTGACTAATCTGCCTTCTCCCTCGCTGCTGTCATCCTTTGTCAATTGCCTGCATACTTTCTTTTTTCATATTCTTCGAATTCCGTGCTCTTCGTGCCGCAGTCGATCGCTTTGCTTAAATATAAAGATTGGACACTCAACTCCTTAACCACAGCGTAATCGGGGGCTTTGAAAACCGCACAGTCATTTCTCTTTCTCCTCTCCACTCTTTCCCTCCCCTCTCCGCTCATTCACACTTCACACACGTAAAATGTCTGCAAAGAACGTAAACAACGGTTCCAATGGGAAGAAGCCCGCTACAGCGGCCACCAACTTGATTGGTTAGTTTTTGACACCCCCTCCCAAAATCCAATCCAGAGCTCTGTTCAGGCGCAATCATAACAAACTGAGAATTCTATAGCTGGTGGAACGGCTGGAATGATGGAGGCACTTGTGTGCCATCCGCTGGGTATGCATATTCCCGCCTCTTCGGCGAACGTCAACGCTATACGTGAGACAAATGAACTTGAATTGATATCAACGTGGTCTAGATACCGTGAAGGTCCGAATGCAGCTCTCGAAAAGAGCACGCGCACCCGGGGTAAGATACCACATACCTGCCTCATTTGTGGTGGAACGAACCTCTACGAGAAAAATAAGAGATTAATGGGTGTGGTTGCAGGTAAAACCTCGAGGCTTCATTGCAACTGGACGAGAGATTGTGCGAAGAGAGACCGTTCTCGGTTTATACAAGGGTCTTGGCGCCGTTTTGAGCGGAATAGTACCGAAAATGGCCATCCGGTTCACGTCTTACGGGTGGTACAAACAGGCGCTTTGCAACAAGGAGACCGGACAACTTTCCGGCTCGGCTAACATGCTTGGTACGTTTCGGTTTGGTCTAGTCAAATGTTGCATAATGTCCTCTTCATCCCCAAATCAACACCACTGACAGACAGTTCGCCTATTTAGCCGGTCTTGGTGCTGGTGTCACTGAAGCCGTCGCAGTTGTTACCCCCATGGAGGTCATCAAGATTCGCCTCCAAGCCCAACAGCACAGCTTGGCGGATCCCCTCGATACTCCCAAATATCGGAGCGCGCCACACGCTCTTCTCACGGTGCTCAAGGAAGAAGGATTCGGCGCTCTTTACCGCGGCGTTTCCCTCACCGCCCTTCGACAGGGTACCAACCAAGCTGCCAACTTCACCGCATACTCGGAACTCAAGGCTCTTCTTCAAAAATGGCAACCCGAATACGCCACTAAGGAGCTCCCAAGCTACCAGACAATGCTTATTGGATTGATTTCCGGAGCCATGGGTCCCTTCTCGAACGCGCCTATCGATACGATCAAGACCCGTCTGCAGAGGACCCCTGCTGAACCGGGCCAAACGGCTATTTCGCGCATCACGGCCATTTCGAGTGAAATGTTCAAACAGGAGGGCGCCAAGGCCTTTTATAAGGGTATCACGCCTCGTGTCATGCGGGTTGCCCCCGGCCAGGCCGTTACGTTTACCGTCTATGAATTCATTAAGGAGCGCCTAGAGCGGACAAACTGGGCTATCATGGGTGGTGACCAGTATAGAGAATAAAGGGTAGGCTCCTTTTGCGAGTTAACTGTCCTGGGATTATGAATAGAAATCACGTTCAGCCAACGCCGGGAGAGCGTAACATGGCTGCTCCAGGTTTGATATGCAGCTCTACCAAAACATGCGGAGATTGAACTGTGCTTCTTTCCCAGTTATGTATGGAGTTGCTATATACCCTGCATGTCGTTTGCTTCGAGGTTTTCCTGGGGTCGGTTTTCCCAGCACCCTTTGCATATCTGTATATCCGATTTACTGTTGCACATATTAGCGCGATTGCTTTCCCGATGTTTTCCCGTCTCCGTTTTGGATCTATGTATATTGTCTTGTTTATTTTTATTTTTATTTTTATTTTTATTTTTATTTTTTTTTTTTGGTTGGAGCACGGCGCATGTTTCTTATTGTGTATCAATAGATATTGGTATTGTGCATTTAGTGCATATGTATATGGGTGCAAAGAAACAAGTTGGCATCATGATTTCTACACCGCCCTGATCCAATGATTTCAATGTTTCTTGACTGTCAAAATTCTCCAGAGATTGGGCTGCTGTTGAAGACATTCTCCACATTGAGGTCATCCGCACTGCGTACATGACATCCGGACTATATCCTATAATATAATCTCAAAAAACAACAGCAAAATAGCCAGTAGAAATAACATAGAGGGCCGTTTCGCATCTGAGATATAAAAGAGGGTTGGATTGTAACTTCAAGTGATAAAAGGATGAGATGGTGTTAAAAATGATGAGAGGTTAGTCAGAGGAGGCTGGTTAACAAGTTAAATAAAGGTTCCTGTTACATTGTTGTCCTATTCAACTGACTCACAACAACAATCCCTTTGGAAGACTTTAACAATAGAAAACTCCAGTACACTGAAAGGAATTTGCAATCATGCAGTCTGGCATATCAGGTACAAATACTCTTTTTAAGCTTCATCATTTTTCCTCTTTTTTTTGTTCTGTGCAGAAGCAAACAGATTTGTCTAACCCACCCCTCTTCCAGCCTCCGCCGAATTACACGACGCCTTCAACTCCTTCACGTTGACTCCCTCCCACTTCTGTCTCCCCGTAATAATATCCAACGAAAGTCTCGTCCCCCTTGAGCCGATACCCTTCCCCACCTCCTCCTCTGATAATGCTTCCCAATTTTTCAGCTCCTTGCCCCTCCTAGCCCCGCACGTCCAACCCAATACCCCGATCTACCTCATCTTCCGCCGCACCACAGGTTCCAGCACCCTCATTGCCGCCACATACATCCCTTCGACGTCGCCGGTACGTGCAAAGACACTCTATGCCAGCTCGCGCGCAACACTTACCCGAGAGCTCGGAAGCGAGAAATTCGTCGACTCCATCTTCGCGACGGATGCAGAGGAGATTCTTGACGAGGCAGCTTGGAAGGAGAGAGATGCGGATAAAAATGCAGCTATTGGGGGCGTCGATGAAGATGGCAAGGCGGAGGCGAGGAGGAATTGTTTGATGGGGAGGGAGGAGAGGGAGTTGAACGAGGTTAGGAAACTGGAGGAGCAAGCGAGGAGTATGGGCGTTAGAAGAAGGGATGTGGGGATCGGAGGCACGATTGGACGTGAGAACTGGAATGGTGAACTACGCATCAATGTTGGAGAGGGCGTGAAAGAGGCATTGCAGCGGGAACGGGCAAGTGGTACCGTTATTCGGCTGGTAAGTTGCTTTTCTTCCCCCCCCCCCCCCCTTTTGCGCTTTTTTTTTATGTGGTTGGTTTAATTGGTTATGAGCGGTCCATTTTTCCGTGGGATCGAGATTCTGGGGCCTCGAAATATATTCTATTATACTAACTAAGATATGCAGACTATTGATGTGCCAACTGAAACTCTCACTCTGATATCCGCCGAGTCGAATGTCGAGCCTGCCTTCCTTGCAAGGTTCATCTCAAGCTCAAAAGCGCAATACACGTTTTATAACCATCCTAACCCCGATGCTGTGATCTTCATATACACCTGTCCATCCGGCTCACAAATCAAAGAGCGCCTTCTGCATGCCAGCTCCCGGAACGATGTCGTCAAGCTTGCTGGTCTGCAGGGCGTGGATGTTGCTCATAAGGTCTGTATAATTCTTCTCTTTCCCCTTGAATCTATGCACTTGTGAATGAAGGCCATTGTTTTCATGTGCAATGACTTGACTGACTTTAGAATTTTAGATTGAGGCATCCGAACCCGAGGAGATCACACTTGCGAGTCTTTCTGAACTCGTGAATCCACGAAAGGACACGGGGCCCAAAGTTTTTGCAAGACCAAGGAGACCTGGACGGTGAATAGTTAACAATCTTTCACCCGCCTGGCTTTCCCTTCCGCTAAAGACTAGTTCTAGGCTGGCCTACCCCTCAGTCAAGGTGTTCTTCGGGTCTTTCAAACGTCGTGTACCAGATCCAACTCAAGATTATTTCCGTTCATTGCTCCTTAGAATCCTTTTTATATACCGTAGCCATTCATGCTCCCTCTAAAAATCCAACACCCTTTTGGTTATTATAAACCCCATAGCCTGAACGTCCACCATATAATTTCCAGATCCCATAAATACTCCTAATCTGTAAAACCAAGAAACATGTAAACGGTCGTAAATCGGAAATATACCGTTGTATCAACAACCCACAACACCCCTCTCTTCTATTCCTATCATGACACCCCCGCCCGATGCTGTTTCCTCTGGAAGAACAAATCCGTCCTCGAGCTACCCAGATTAATAATTTTCGGGCATCCATCGCGATCCTTCTCCAGACGCGTACACTCGAAACAATAAAAGGCGTCACTGATCCCTTCGCCTCCACACACAATGCATTTATTCTGGTAGTTGCCGAACGAGCACTCATCGCAGATACGCACAAGCGTTGTGGGCCGCACGTAGGAATCGCAGACGGGACATTTACCGTCGCATTTGTCACAGAGACGGCCGATGGCGATGCCGGTTTGCTTGCGACACATTACGAGATCGGGGTGGTGGCGGGACATGATGACGGTTGTGGTGGTGGTGGTGGTTGTGGGTAGGTTGGGATGTAAAAAAAACAGAGCGATTCTTCGGCCAGAGGAGGAACAGGATGGGCTAATGGACTATGTTTCAAAGCATTACTTGTCTTTGCTTGTCCCTTTGCGCACGTTTGAAGGTCATAAGATGGTTTGTTTTGGTGTTGGCAGTTGCAGTTAGAAGAATAGCAGGTATTCGCCAAGACAGAACTCGAAAGCTGTAGAAGCAATGGGGTCTGATGGTATGGGGAATTTAATTATTGGATGTCAGTGAAATCCCCAAAGTTCAGTGGTTGAATTTGTCATCTGGCAAAACTAGCAGATTCTGCGCTAGGCCCTATTGGTCTCACCCGCATTGCATTGCTGAAGCTCTCAAGTTGCCTTTTTTTCAGGATCGCACATATCATCATCAAACATCTGACCGTCACTACTAGTTACAGCAGATGAAACCTCCGTTACCTTATTCTATTCTCGTGCAAGTGTGGTTATCTTCTTACCCGGATCCATCTCATCGCTAGATTTCATATATCCTTCCATGGCGGACGGGTAAGTGCCCCTCGAGTTTTAGCTACACTGTCCACGAACTTCAATGCCGGGGAGCTAACATGAAATATATTAATCCAGAACAATTGCATCAGCTGTTGCGCTTCCTGAGCCAGAAGAAAGTCCGGATGGCAGATTAAAGCGTCGCCAGTCCCTATCTGAAGACAATGAGAACAAACGGCGCCGGCTGAGTGATGAGAACCGACATCCCGACTCCAAGGAAAACGAACCGTCTCCGTCCGCGGTCACTGCACCTAAGCCGAACACCGCGGATGGAAGGGATTCCCGGCGAAAGAGTGGCGCGGCAGAAGAGCGCAAGCGTGGTCAAAGATTATTTGGCGCCCTGCTGGGTACACTCTCACAGAGCTCATCTACAGCAGCACAGAAACGACGGGCGGATATCGAGCAAAAGCAGCTGGCAAAGCTCCGTATGCAGGAGGCAGAGTACACGGAACTGACGCGAAAAAAACAAGAGGACTTATTGGCGGTGCGGAGGAAGGAACAGAGGATATATGAGAGGCAGTCGGTGCGTGATGGCCGTTTATCTCAAGGCCCCTTATGATTTTGGATCGAGTTTCTATATATATAGCCATATTGACGGTATTCATTTGCCGCTTAGATGCGTGTCCGACACTCGAACCAGCTAGCTGTGGCACATTTCCTCAAAACAACAGCTGAACCTTTCCTGGTATGTATCAAGACTGTTGAGCTATCTCCATTCCTATATTGTAAATGTTTCTGCTAAAATTCAACGGTGATTAGTACTACAAACCATGGCAACTCCGACCGGAAGAAGAAGATAGAATTAAACAACAAATTGACGATTGTAAAGCTACAATCGCAAAAGAGGTCGAGGAATTTGAAACGAAAAATCCACCATCGCCTCGTCCTACCCCAAACCAACCTGACACTCTATTTGCTGCTGCAGGTGAAACACGCACAACCGTTGCCCCTAGAAATAATATTATTTCTGATGATAAAGAGCCAAAGGACGCAGTGCAATTGAAATCCGATACGGTGGGTGATGGCACTAACAATAATAACAACCGCACTGAAACTGAACCAGAACCCCAAATATGCTCCCCTGCTGCTACTGGTCCTGCTCTTTCTGATCACCCTCTTGCTGCTCCTGCTACTACTAATGAATCCTCTACGTCTTCTACTACTAAAAGCCGCAACGACAACCCATCCACAACTAGCGTTAACCACCACCAAAAAGCACACGATGATGATTCTGGAGAAGTCATGCTCGAAGATAAGGAGGATACTGTCATATATTAAAGCAAGTTTTCTTTGTACCTATACCTTAATAATTCCACTTCTTCCCAGACATGTTTATACCTTTTTTCGGCCTTCCCCTCATTCACACTGTAAGGGAATTTGTTTTACCGCACCCGGAGTCACCATCTTCGACTAACTAACTCTCTTGTTTCTCTTCTGTTTTGTCCTTTTGCTCTTGTTCCCATCCGATTGCCCTTCCACCATTTTGGATTTCATTTCATTCAACACGCAGTGCACCACTTTTGCATTTTCTACCCAACCCTTCAAGATTATGCATTTCCTATCATATCCATACGTTAGTGAAGATGACTTTAGTTACGGGTGGTTTACCAGAGAAAGCTTTGAGGTGGGTGATGTGATATCAAATTTCTAACGACGGAACGGAGTCATGGGCAATATTTCCCCGATTGCCAATGAGGTTTTCCTTTGGCCCCTTGGGGCAGAGAATGAGATCTTCCGTAAATGATTTATTACTGCTATAATGATACAAATTGAAGCACTTATGAATATTTCAGACGCAGTATCTTACGCATTGTTTCTTCTATTCGTCTGACTTTAAGTATAAGGAGCCATATTCTCTTCACCCATAGATCGGGGGTCTCAAAAGAGTTATGATATCTAACTTCAAAGCTTTACATCAATTTCTTTTTTAATCAGTATTAGAATGCCTTATGTAAGTAAGAAATTTTAAGGTTGGGAATCATGTTCCATTGAAGTAAAATGCCGGAGGACCAACTAGATGAACCAGTCATCATAATCAAAATTCACGCTCATTGATTGATTATTTAATAATCAGTGTGTACCCCTATAATTCAATCCTCTACGTTGAAAAACCATGTTGTCCCTCTCTTCATTTATGTCTTAAGTCAAATTTTATTGATTTCGTCAAGGAGGGATGATGGGTCAGGGAGTTTAGGCGGGGCAGGAAGCCAGATTTTAGTTAAAGTTAAATTAAGCTTAATTTAACTTCACTAAGCGCCATACCGTTCCACCATTCGACGAACGTCAACTCTCCTGGGACTTACCAAGATCTGAATCGGATGATTGCATCGAAAAAGCGACACGCTTCTTGGTTTCTCAATTTGACATTTTCTGCAAAAACTCTTTCTTTAATATCTTCCTCCAGTAACAATGAACAGATAACCATCTATTACCCTCCACTGATAACCAAGCAACGACCTCCACATATGTTCATATGAACATATGTGATAGATTGGGTAAATTACTATACGGCAGTTCTTCGGTTTCAGCCGCCCTTCCACCATTGTCTAGAACCGGCGGTTCGGGTGGTATGTGTCTCTGACACGCGTAACTCTACCCCGAAGGTTCTTAATGGCGACCTTCTCATTCACCCTACTTAACCCAACACAGGCACATATGCTGAACTGCAGGTGCAATCTAACTGGCTCACCTCCCCACCACATATGTACAAAGTAGTTGTTGCAGACAACCATGATGTCATGCCTGATCCGGATTTCGTGCGGTGCTCTCCTTCCGTCCTCAGCCCGATCACTCCATATCGTCACTTGTTGACTTGTTGAATTTGGGTGACATCATTTACCTCCAGGACCGATCTATTACATTATCCTTTTTCAAACAGGAAGTTGAAGATTGATGGCTCCCTTCACACGCCACAATTTTGGCGTCTGGACTCTTCAGCACCCAGCTATCAGGGACGTTGGTCTCATCGGATCCCCTATGATGCCGATGTGGTGATGCTTCATGGGGCCGCCTGTACTTATATCTCGACGTCGAAAGAAAAATGCGACGGGTATTTGTTAAGGGAGCTAAGAAGGGTCAAGCCGCAACTTACAATTTTCGCTCATGTTCATAATGGATATGAGAGGACACGCTGCTACACGATGGTGTGCAAAGAACACAAGATGAAATAACCTTGGGGAGAAGTGGACCGTATGGGATATTTCAAATGAACGTTTTGGATCATTATGGCATGCCTTCCAATCTTGTTAGGCCTCCCTCGACTTCCCGATTCAAGATTGGTCCATGCAGCAGTTGTCCCGGGATAAAAGGATAAATATAAGAAGACACCAATCGTTTTACAGATATAGTAACCTCTATGCCCACCATATACGGATCTGTAAGTGACAGGCCCTCCTATTGTAAAAACAAAACTGAAGTGGCGCAGTGTTTAGGCATAGGGTTTTCTTGGTATATCCTGTTGCGGGATACTTGTGGTTTCTAAAAACACCTCTGAGGGTAAATTAATGCAAATTATACCAGAACTTGAAACAACAGCCACAGAAACACTGTGGTTATCGGCCTAGTTCGGAACGTCATAATACGCATTCCATATTTACCCATGTGGGTATCGAGTTTAAACGAAATGATATGCGGCTGCCAACATAAAATATTTTTATTTTCTTGTTACTTCTTACTCGCCCTTCCACCCTCAATGAACTGAGTGTCTCCCCATCCTCATGAGGTATCTTCAGCACTTCGTTCAGGGGCTCAACCTTAGAGAGAAAGCTCAGAATCTTATTCTTTCATCTGCTGAGCCTGTTGAAGAGCTCATTATTCAACCTCTACACCTTCATCAGCAGAGGCTGGATCATATGTCTGAGCATCACAGAGATGCAACAATTGCGATCTTCTCATCCTAGTGTCATTTATTTAATTTAGTCAGAGGCTGTTAAGTATAGATATTTCAGGTTAACTATATTTCTATATGTGATTCTTATTCCAGTGGCTCACTCAGTGGGAGTTAACTGCGGAGTAATCGAATACGGGGGTGATTGACACTGGTTGGTGGAAAGTGAAGCCAACACGTTAGCATATTGCTATGCAAGCGCCAGAATAGTTAACCTCGGCAACTCAACATAGGGTCAACCATATGCCCCCCAACCTCCTCCTCCTCCTCCTATGAACAGTTGTATATCAATGACAATATATTCATACAGCCAAACAACAATTTTTCAACAACTCATTATCAGGAAAATCCCCTGGGTTCAATTGCCGGAACTGCTAGTTTTAAACTTTTGTTTCACTAAGATCCCCAATCATGATTGACAAGATATCCGTCAATGGAGACTCGAGGGTCCGACATTGCACCGCAGTGTTGAATGGGACAACTTACGGTATGTGCAACTATTTCGAAAGTCATACAAATAGCCATCTCCACTCATCCTTCCGGTGGGATTTAAAAGGATGTGCGTTTCAGTTTATCGATATTGAGATGAGCTTCATCTACACTTTGGCATATTTGCCATGTATATATATACAGTACTTTTTTGTTTATTTATCTGACTCTTAAACAGGGTATCTTCTCAGCCTGCCGGAGGGTGGACAGTACAAATCTACGGTCTTCCTGGTGTGTTCTGGTTCTTCCTAAATGAAGCCTGCATTGCAGTTCTTCAGTTCTTTCCGACTCTCCAATGTTTTCCGAGTCCCATTGAGCTAGTATTCGTCATATCACATCTCTTATTTCTTATTTGAACTCCTTGTTTCAAATGACCCTCAACAATGCATCTTGTTTTAGTCTTTTTAGTCTATCATTTCAACCCGGTGTCGCTTTGCATAGCGTTGGAACTTTAAAGTCCAATTGAAACACAAACCAGCATAAAAGAGACATATTCTAATTTTCTCAGATCCATGGCTTTCCCGATCTGTCCATGGGATGGCGGTATCAGATACCTGCCTTGACAAAGATGGGTCTTCGAGTCGTTGCTCCCGACTGCATGGGATATGGAAGAACGGTATTTCTCAGTTTCCTGAAAATTTGTCTTTTTGGGGTTCTATGAAATTGCAACATGCTCAATTTTGCGGTCAACTCATAGGATGCACCAGAATTCTCAGAAGAAATCGCCGCACGATATGGACTTAAACAGTGTGCAGATGATATGAAAGAGCTTGCACGCCAGCTGGGCTCGTCGCAGATTATTCTGGGAGGGCACGACTGGTATGTCCTCTATGTAATTATATATTTCAAAGTCATCCCCGAGATGAGTCATGTCTGATTCCAAATGATTCTACATACACAGGACATTGGGCTTCTTCTAGAAAAGTGGTTGATATACCTTCTTTATGTCTAACACTGATACTAGGGGCGGATTTGCCGTTTATCGCATTGCCCTGTACCATCCCGGTTTTGTTACGCACTTGTTTTCCATATGCACTCCTTACAACCCTCCTTCAAGCAACTTCATTCCACTCGAGACGATCGTCAAAACGAAGGTCCCCTATTTTGGGTATCAACTGCAGTTCGTCAGTGGGGATCTGGAGAAGGTGATCAGGAGCAAAAGTGATATCAGGCAATTTTTGCTGTCGATGTATGGTGGAAGGACATCGACCGGCGAGTTTGGATTCGATGTATTCAAAGGAGTCCTGCTGGATAAGTTTCAGCATTTACAAAACTCGAAGGTCATAAGTGAAGAGGTACGCATTCATTCTTCCCCATTTTCAATGTAGATATCCTCCATCATGCGTGATCGACATCTCTTGGGCGTGCATCTTTATTACACAGGCTGGCATAGGTTTTATTGATATTGTAATGTTAGGAACTAAACTACTATGTTAACGAGTGGGCGAGGCATGGTATACACGGCCCCTGTGAGTCCTTTTAGGTTTCTTCCACTTCCCCTGAAGTTTTTCCACAACTGTACCTAACAGTTCCAAGTAAACTGGTACCGCACCCGCGAGCAAAACTACAGGGATGAACTAGGTTTACTAGGCCGCCCACTTGACATCCCTGTCCTCTTCATCCTTGCAACGCAGGACCAGGCCCTCCGCCCCGCTCTGTCTCGTAACATGAGTAAATATGTACCTAACCTCACCACGGAAGAGGTTAAAGCCGGCCATTGGGCACACTGGCAAGTGCCAGGGGAGTGTAATGAGGCTATCAGAAGATGGATGGAAGGTGTCGTTTTCACGGGGAAGAGCAAATTGTAGGACTCTTAGACGGAACTAATAGTTGAAGGAACGGATGGGATCCCTCCCTAGAGATCTCTTACTTTCGTTTGGCCATCTCTGTATTTGATTCATATGTGCTTAATATTCCTTTTATGCCGTTTTACGAGCTACGGACCTACCTCACTTTATTGAGAGAATTTTGACATAAGATGAATTACCCTCTCTCGTTGGCTCTTCTGCTCTAATCATTAGCAATCAATAACTAACCAGTCGAACATTGTAATCCCGTTTAATTACGAAGAAACTACCTATGCAACATAGTTTTCTCTCAACGACGCCAGTCAAAAAATGTATCTATTACTCGTTAATTCATTGGATATTAGGCTTTCGGAATTCGGAGACATGTTGAGATCATCCGTCAGTAAACTTGAAACTGTATCTCTTAGCTCTGGGGCCAAAGTACGAAGTAGTAGTATATAGCCGTTCTTAAATCCATAAATAGTAGGAGTCGATGGAAGGTTCTGAGGGACTATGTAAAATGTCACCAAAATGATTACATTCATAAGAGACACGCATCAGTTGTTCCTCGGTTTCATCTACGTATCTCACGAACAAACAGATGGCTATTTGACAAGATATTAATATTAGCCCACGAAGACCGCAGCAATGCAGAGTAGAACTATCAGCCGATCGAATTCTTAAGTTCTTAAGGCTACACATCGGCGGAAAGCAAATAAACCGAAATACGAAAGTGTAAAAATGATCTGAAAATCTAGCAGTCTAGAACCTTCGTCTCAATCGTTATCCCAACTTTCTCCAAGTGATCAACATACTCCTGCCCCAATACCGCAGGCGTCAAACACCCACCCTCAAGCTCCTTTTCAACATCCATACTCTTCAGCAAAATCACTGCCGACTCCGCAAGCAACACGCCAGTCAACCAATACGGGTCTCCAGGTGCCTTGAACGCCCCAAGCACTTTGATCGGCCTTCCCTCGGGAGTCTTGTGTTCCGCAGTTGCAAGAGCGCGAAACTCAACCCGATTGCCCTGCGTGCTTTGCTTCGACGGGCCCTGGCCCGGTTGATAGATGAGCTTGCGCACTAGCCAGCGCACGGGGGATAATGTAAGGGCCAGCAAGCCAAACACAAATGTGAAATGCAAGGCGACGCCAACCAGGACATTGTGGACGCCTAGGAGGGATTGGAATTGGAAATAGGGACTGTAGAGGTCCGGCATTAGAGACCTGCTGCGCTGGACGATGGCGATGTCGCAATGGCTGGTAATGGATAAGGTCATTGTGCCCAGTTCAGGGGCAGTGCGGACCCCAAGCAGTCGTTGGAGGAGGGGGGGTGAAGGGACCGTCTTCGATGGGCTGGTCGATATGTAATATGGACTCTGTGCCTTGAGCAGTTCCTTGAGTGGTACGCTTTCAATTACGCCCAAGAGAGTTGTGAGGGTTCCACCACTAGCTCCTGCTGCTCTGTGTGGACACAAATGTTAGAGGGGCAAAAATATTCGCTTATTCCCATTTCTGAGGGACAGGGAAGTATTGATCGCTCACTTGAGTTCATGAATCGTGCAAATGACCTCCTTGGTTTGGACGGAGAACTCATCCTTGATATACTTGGCGAGTGACCAGGTCAACAAATCTGCTGGGACACAATCAAATCCATCGGAGAATATCATCTAGAAAAACTGATAAGTACCGTATCATATTTATCATATTAATTGTTGAGAATATGGCTCACTATTGACCCTGTCTCTTTAGATTTCTCATGATATTTCTCGATCATCTCTTTAACCCATGTTATCTCTCCCGTCCTGGGATGAATAAACTTCAGCAAGAATTTATAAATGGGAAGAGGGATATCTGTATTCCTACACATCGAGGTAATGAGTGCCATTGTTCGCACATGCCTCCACGACAGGTGTCGAATAAAGGTGATATGGTCCGACGCAATTGATAAGCACTCGAGTCCTCTCGGCAAGGGGATTTAATTCCTCAGCCTGAAGTTGCACAGGCACAATCTCTAATAAGCTCACAGGATATTAACGTTGTGTCGGCGAACCCCAGGGAACAATGCTTAAAAATGATTTTCAAAACACGACATACCAGGTTCTTTCCGCTCAGCGTTCAGTCCACGCAATTCGGTTGCGAGTGCAGTAAGTTTTTCTGCAGATCGTCCGGCAATTCCCCATTTCAAGTTTGTGGGAAGATGCTTTACGATGTGTTCAGCGCATAGGCGCCCAGTATATCCCGTCGCGCCGAGGAGGACAAGATCGAAGTGCCGTGTGGACGTCATGGAGTGAGGGTACAACTTTTGAGATTATCGAGCAGTTCATGCAACGCCAAAAAGGCTCACTTGTTAACAGTAAGGTCACAGTACCAGTTGAGCAAGGAAATGGTGGATTGAAAAGAATTCACAACAGCGCTATAAATATCATCGAAAGCAACTAACGGCGTTTGATCACAAGCATTGCTATTGTTGGCGTTCCATGAATTCTAAGGTTATCTGCGATGATATCACCCGCTTCGCTACCACAAATTCTGGCTCCGGGCTAACTGTTTGTTCCGATGCGCCCGCTTCACTGACTCCGGTGCGGACGAGCCGAAGCGTGGATCATTTCGATAGTGAGATACAAAGGGAGTCGACGCTTGTTCATTATCCCAACGTGATACGAAATATGATATAGGCAATTACGAGCTGGGGATCTTCAACCCGCGACTGGCGTCTATGAATGAAAATAGCTTCAAGATAGGTTAAGCCACGTATTTCCACGTTAACCCTTGCGGTATTGCAGCATATATACCAAGTCCTTTGCCATGGTCTTTCGTATTGTTTGGCTAAAGGTTGATAACTAGCGTGTCGTGCATTTCTCCAATATCATTTTACGCTGTTTTGTGGTAAAGAAGTCAAGGCTGGTTCATCTGGGAGAACAAATCAACCTCCACCCAAAACACTTATCACAACGCCTCGTCTACCATCTGTAGTTTCGCATCCATGGAGGAGTTTTCATGCGGTTTTTGTAGCCTGTAATCGTTGATTGTGGATGCCCCTTATACGATTTTTAAACCAAAGGATGTATTTTCTGTTGAAAATACAAATAACCAGAACCTCTAATTGCAAAAATATAATATAAGCAAAGGTAAATATCCCAGAGAATAATATACAATCGGACAAATGGTGAGTACAGAACAGATCTCATCACCAATGTCAATCTTAAGTCAATCAATCTACTGATGATTGAAGGGTTGCTTGTGTAGTCGATGATGGAGACAGCCTTGTTGAACTTTCGGATGTTTAGTAATCGAAGGTTTAATACCACGTGATTCCAAAACCCCCAGGATGCTTGCCAAGACCCAAATTTCGACCCTAAGCGAAACCCACAATCATCAGCGACGGTCAAGTCGACTTGCAACAGTCCGGATTTTGCAGCTTCACACACCCACCTCTCTGTTGCCCGCATATACACATCCAGCGTGACAAGATGACGAAGCGCACCAAGAGTACGTTGCTAAATTGAAATCTTCACCATATTTTCCCGGGTTTGGAATGATGGACTAATCCACTGTTTCCGCAGAGGTCGGTGTCACCGGTAAATATGGTACCAGGTACGATTTTCAATCCCGCAGTCATTTGCTGCGTCCTCCGGATATCTCCCGTGATCGAATTGGTTTCATGATATAGGAAGAAAGAGGGGGATGATGCGATATGATGTGATATGGGTTTGGGGAAACCTATACAGCGGAGGGAAAAGGGGAGAGAGAACAAAAGTTGGCTGACCAGAAGAATTTCCGTCAAAACGACAGATACGGTGCCTCACTCCGAAAGCAGGTGAAGAAGATGGAAATCTCCCAGCACGCCCGATATGTCTGCACATTCTGTGGCAAGAACAGCGTAAAGCGAAAGGCCGTGGGCATCTGGGAGTGCCGATCGTGTAAAAAGACCGTTGCTGGTGGTGCCTGGACTGTCTCGTACGTACTTTCTGTCCGGTTATCGCACATTTCAAAAGCCTCTCTCTACTCCTTTCAAATGGGCTGACCAAATCTCTTTGGTTTTTTGTCGTTACAGGACACCTGCGGCTGCTACCACCCGATCGACCATCCGTCGTCTCCGAGAAATTGCGGAAGTTTAAAGATGGTTTGACGATGGGAGTTTCAGTTGTTTTTCTTTTCTTTTCTTTTTTTTTCTTTCTCAATTTTTCTACCTTTTTTTCCGGATGAAATGACGGAATTTTGGGCAGTTGCAATGCAAACAAAAAGAATTGAATTCCGATTGCAGGGTTTACACTTGTTATGGAGGTGTGCTATCACAAAGGGAGACACCCGAAATCGTAAACGCCTTTGATATCCCGCACGGATATTCAATAGAGTTTTTCTGAGTGACTGAACGAAGGCTTCCACCCCAGTAGCATCAGAACGAAAGAAGACAAATCAAAAATTTCCATTGCTTCTTCCCAATCAGGCCCAATTTGCTTCTTGTTCGACCCTTCATATTAGTTTCAAGCGCGATTTATGTGCTTTTTAGGCGCAACACATGTCTGATGACTTTGTGAGCTGCTGTCGTGGTGGGTATGTCCCATCTCTAGGAGGGCGGGTGCACCTTGAGGATTATCCGAAATTAAGGATTACCTTGGTCGTCTTAGGGCTTGCATATTACTTATTTGGTGAGATAAGGTTGTCTCTGGATATGGCATTTTCCTAGATACTACAAATTACTGGCTTTGCAACAACAGTGAGCGTTCATGAGGTTGGCATCTCGCATCTCATGGAACTCTAGTTTATGGTTTCGTCATCAGCCAAGTAAGTATGGCACCAGAGCACAAAGTATTGTGAAGCACTTGTCGTTCGTTGTTTATCAAATTTGCACCATAACTTCACTCTGGGTATATACAGGACAGTAACTATTTAACAAAACAGCTTACCTCAGGTTAATAAGGTCCTCAATTTGCCTGCTGCACATCACTGGAAGGAGTAGTCTGCACCAATGATCCATTGAGCAAGATGGTTAATGTCAGTTACTGAGAACTTATTAGATAACTCCGAAATCAAGGTGGGACAGTTTCATGACATCCATTCCTTGTCCATACATACCACTGATGCCTTCTTAAACACAATTATCATCCTGTCCATAGCCTCCCAGCGAGGAAAGCTCTCAAACCAAATTTCCTCTTGCCGACTACGACATTTCCAAGATCTCAGAAATTGCCGTGTCAAAGTCCATCGCGTACTCAATATTGAGACCAGATGTGTCTAATTCGGATGTAAGCGCATGCTTGTCACAGAATTCGTCAAAGGCAGGACGATTGAAGAATGCTGGGGGCAGTTGAGTGAGGCCGAATGCGTGGATGTTATCGGGCAGGTTGCCTCCATCACCGCTACATTGAAGTCCATCCCAGTACGGCATAACCCAAGCCTCGTCGACTATAAAACCTGCTTCGCGGCAATTATAGTGAATTATGTATACTTTGAACAACTGGGCAATATCTTTAACAGGTAAAGTTGATCTCCAAAGGCTACGTTGCCGGCACCGGAGCAATTGGTCTTGTTCAGCCAAATGGTTTGCTCCAGTCATTGTGATCTATTACATCTTCAACAACTTCGAGACGAACCGCGCCGTATCCTTTGGTCGCAGGTATTAAAAGCAAGATGGGATAAAGCTCCAAAAACGAAGGGGGGAAAGTGAAATAACGTTTAGCGAAACAACTGGCAATTAACCAGAAAGTATTCCTTGGAAAATCTTCATAGATGGTAATAAATCCTGCAATCGGACTTGACGTGGGCAAGGAGGAAGAGTAAAAAGAATACTAGAACTTGTACTCTGCCATCGTCTTTGACTGATAGCTCGCCAAAATTTACCCCGGACGGACATTTAGCTGTAGCAGCCTGACGAACCCAGTTCCTTCGGATTGTAAATATCACACACACCCATTGATCCGACTGACCCTACACATTATGGTCCTTGAATGCCGTCAAGCAATCACATCAGACCACCATTTTCCGGCAAGTGAGGATCGCCTGCCTCTCCTCTCTATCGGCCGTAATAGTTTTGAACTATTCCACTCCATTTCGCCCGCATCTTCAGTGACCGTGCAGTTTGCGAACTGGTAACCAACCCAGCCCATCTCTTAAAAACATGAACACTCAGAGTGAATGGAGTGCTCTTTCACATGTATATCTTAACAACCATCATATAAAATCCCACTCTATAAAGTGATGATATATGGTATAGAAGGATATATATACGGATACATAATGTATCATATGTTACATCACCAACAAACCCCAGATAATCCCCAGCTCTTGTCCCAAGCCCATGGCGCTTATCACGTTTCAGCGCTATCCCCCAATACGGCCTAGCGCGCGCTGCTAGCCTAGCTTCAAAAGGCGGCCGTTTTCTTCCCACAGCTTCTGGTCTATTTCACCCTCTCCTCCTCTCCTCCTCTTCCTCAACCTCTGTCCAGCTTCCAATACAGCTACAATTCTGCTCTTCATGCCGCCGCAGAATATCCCATCCATCCATCCACTCTTCCATCTCCTCAACAATGACGGACACTTGCATAGTGTGTCTAGGAGACCTTGGCGATGGCGCCAGCGAGCCGGCTCATGTGGTCTGTGTCGACCAAGACCATCTGCCAAGATCCGGCGATATCCAGAGAGCTCCCCGGCTGGAGGTCGTCGTTACATCCCCCAAGCCTGACCCGGAAGCTGATTTGGGGAAAATTGCCCATCTGCTTCCCTGTGGCCATACCCTTCATGACGAGTGTCTTAAACCTTGGGTGGAAAGGGCAAATAGCTGTCCGATATGTCGCCAGAACTTCAATATGGTTGAGCTGACGGACACGGTTGGAGGTATGTGCATCTACATTTATTGCTTTTATTATTTCCATGGAAGTTAAACCTTTGTTGTACCTTTTTATGAAACCACAGATTTTCTAACAATTTTTCTCATATATCTACAGGTCCTGTTGTTTCGTCCTATTGTGTTGAAGACCGTGTACAGGTTGCGGATATCGACCCTTCTATTGTAGTGGACGAACTAGATGCAGAGTCCGATTCACAACCCTGTCCGATATGTGGATACGATGATAACGAAGACGTCCTTCTTCTCTGTGATGGTTGCGATGTCGCCATCCATACCTACTGCGCCGGCCTGGATGCTGTCCCTTCAGGTCCTTGGTTTTGTTCCCAATGCGAAACCCAAAGAGAGATCCTTGCAGTTGGCTCACGTCCACGGAACCAATCCACCCGTCGCACTCGTGGCGATCAGAGAAGAATCCGCAGCCGAAACCAGATAAATGCCGTTCATTGGGCCCGCGTTTGGCAAACCGTATGGGACCATTTGAATCTTGATCTGGACTTCCCTTTTGACGATGAACGAGCGCACAACCGGGCAGTTGAACAGCGAAGACGCGAGGTTGCTAATCGGAGAGAATTTCGGGCATGGGAACGTCGCTTTCAGATTGCTGAGCGCCAAGGAGTGGCTAACCGGTTCAGAGATACCGCATCCGCCCTTCTCGAGATCGGGCGGGGCTGGCCCTCGAGACCCAGACAAAGAATCGAAACGCCAGAGCCCGAATCACTTGACGAGGTTAGAGCATGGAACGCATTTGAAAGAGCGCGGGAAATACAAGATGATCCAAGTTCGAGCTCGAGTCGTGGTCGAAAACGCAAATCCCCGACGGCTTCACCAGTAGAGCCACAGCCGGCACAACCCGAACGGAGACTGAAACGCCCGCGAACGAGACGGCCGGAAGCTCTTGCTGCTGACTTTCTTGATCACGGGGGTGAGTCTTCCAGAGCTGGGAGATCAGCTAATGCAGGTGGTTCTGCTGCTTCTGGAAGGGTTCCCGCTGATAGCAATGTTAGTACGGGCCCAAGCTTTTTGCAGTCCCTTCTCAAAGAGGTTGAAGACTCTTCTCCCCCGAGCTTGAACAACAGCGCCTTTAGATCAAATGTTTTCTCCGCGACACCTGGCGATTCGAGCTCCCCCCACCCATCCTCCCCTGTTCAGTCATCCCTCTCATCGAATCGCTCCTCCCCTCAACCATCATCCGCCACGCCACCCCCTTACAACAACGGCCCAACCACGCCGATCACAGTCCCCGACCCAGCAGCTTTTTCTTTTCCCGAATTCTCCCCTTCATGCTCTCCCAACCCAGACCATGGGACCGTTGACCGACCTCGACTCCCCCGCCAAATGCACCGAAGCCAACGTGTAGGCCACAGCTCATCATCCTCACCTTCGCGTTCGCGATCCAACGAATCCTCCCCAACCCGCTCTTCCCTCTCCATATCTGTCAAATCCGATCTCCAGAAAATGGTCAGCGCGGCTCTAAAGCCCCACTACCGCAGCCGCGAAATCTCAAAGGATGAATATACGGATATAAACCGTCGTATATCGCGGATGCTGTACGAGAAGGTTGGAGCCGTTACGACACTGGATGCAGATGCGAAAAGTAGATGGTCGGGTGTTGCTAGCGAGGAGGTGAGCAAGGCTATTGCCAGTCTTAAGGGGACTAGAGAAGTCACTGGCAAGGTCAATAAGGGCAGTGATAATAGTGGTTGAAACCTCTTCATGAACTGATGATAAAATTTCTTTTTTGACGATGCTTTAATTATGATGATCCCCCCCAAATACATAACAAGCTGGCGTTTTGTCTTCATACTACATTTTCGATTGTTTTTATTTAGCGCATTTTATTTTTGATTGGCTTAAAACATCATCCTGGCGAGTATTGAACAGCGTTGGCGCGTCCTGGGTACTGGGAATGATATTTTGTCTTCTTGAGTCTTGTTCTTCAATATAACTTTAACCACCCCCCCAACCTCCGTCCCAAGCTGGAAAGCATGGGGATTTGTTTATATTTTTTCTGTCCTTTGGATCAAACGCGGCGTGAGTGACGGGATACGATGGATATCGGGCGGCGGGATGTTATTTATTAGTAGGATAGATACCCTGATACATTAACTTGCTGGTCTATTTCTGATATTCCCCCCCTCACCTACTTTGCAGGAACAATCTCCTCTTCTAATACTCCTTTTCCAGTGAGTTAAATTTCGTAGACTCCGCAAGAATGATCATGTCATGGGAGTTCATATCCAACTTAGAACAAAATATTCATCAACCCGTGAACAATGGGGATTGAGAAAGATAAAATATCATCCAGACTTTCCCACCGTTTAAATTGAAAACACCTCTGGCACATCCTTAAGCCAAGGTATCGAATCGACATTTCTGCAGAGGAATAAAGTGTTTATAGAAGGATGAATGTCGCATTGTCACCGTCCCTTAGTACGGTGTATGCTTAGTCACTCAAGCCCTAGTAGTTAACTATTAACTAACTGCTGTTACCTAGCAGCGCACGTGACCCCTGCGGTACCTTGGTTTAACCCAGACGCGTCTGCTCCGAGTCGCGCCAACAGAGAAAAGAATTTCACTCTATAGCAAAATAACTCCGCAGAGGCTGTCAGGGGAGCCACCTGGCAATCGTCGGATCCATTGCTGTCATAATTGCCTCTAGCAAGCCTTGACAAGCCCTCACCAGGCCCTTGTCCTACCGTGCCACCAATCTATACATCGCTATGTGAAAAGGATTGCCCACTCTCACCGTAGTTAGTTAACTATCTCCTACACCAAAAAGAGCCCATGGTCATCTAATTCAACAAAAGCCCACTCCACCCCCCACCCCACCCCACCCCAACCCGCTTCCTTCACTCAAACAACAATGCCTTTGCGCACTCGACATTCTCAAGCCGGTACGACTGAAATCGCCGAACCAGATGAGGAACCGAGCGGCCTCCGCCGCCTGAAGTTCAACGAGCCACTATCATGGCGGGCCGGTCGAGCGATTCCCGTTGCAGACCTGCTGGAGAGACTAGAGTCGCTTGCGCTTGAGCTACGGCAGCTAGATCAGGAAGAGACGGATAAGGATTCGCTGAGGAAGGTTTCACAGGAGCTGGCGAGCCTGCATTTGCTGGGTCATAGGGATAGGGGCGTGCGGGCGTGGACTGCATGCTGTGTCGTGGATATTTTGCGTCTGTGCGCCCCGAATGCGCCGTTTACGGGGAATCAGTTGAAGGTATGGGAGATATGGGTTTGGGGCGTATTTTAGACGATGTGCTTGTGGAGCAAGTGCTAATTTTGATTATTGTGACAGGATATATTTACTACAGTTGTCACATCTATAATTCCCGCCCTCGCTGACCCATCGAATGCCTACAATGAACAACATGTATACGTTCTTTCGTCCCTCGCAGATGTCAAAAGCATCGTCCTTCTGACAGACCTGGATGCTCCTGACACCCTGATTCTCCCTCTCTTTTCATCGTGCTTCGATATCGTGTCGGGTTCATCGAAGTCTTCGACAGGCGAGGAACTAGCAAAAAACGTGGAATATGATATGACACGACTGCTTGTTCCTATTATCGATGAATCTTCTGTCCTTGCACCGGAAATAATCGACGTTATCATTGCGCAATTTCTGCGCGTCGATCCCCGGATCGTAGAGAATCCGAGCGGTAGCAAAAGCAAGAAGAATGGGGCGCCTCTCGATGCAAAACAAGGAACGTTGC